TCTGTAAAGATTATTTTTCCGTCAAGATATACGTTGGCGATAAGGATCTTTCCTTCTTTGGTGACAGGTTATATCATTATGGATTGACATATGGAGGTGCTTGAACTGGGGACATCCTCAGGGTTCTTGAAGATGGTTTTAATGGTACCATATACATTTACATATCTTCTAAAAGTGACTTCAATAAATTGGATTAGTTTCTTATTGGTATAGAGCTTCTCAAAGTTGGTGACCCATTGCATAGGGATAAACTTTTGCAGTTCTTGTGAGATGTTTCTGGGGATCTAGACTATGGAAGGTATTTCATCTTGGTTATTGACCAAGACGAACAATGCTCTATCTTTACAAGAGGGTAGTGCAAGATTTATGATATGATCTTGCAGTTTGTAGATTATTTAGTAATGAAGAGTGGCTGACAGTACATTAGCTACTTGTTCTGGATCTGAACATTTAATCTCTGAGAGAGGGTGGGATCTTTAAAATTAACATTGAAGTTAGAAAAGATAGTCCAGATTACGCTTCCAATATGGAGAGTAGTCAATACAGTACCAATTACATGTTTATAGTGGAGGTAGTTGGAGTCTAGGAGAGAGACTATGGCTGAAACAGATAATCTACGTCTTCCATGGAGGTGAGTGTATCCTTCATTCTGTCAGTACCTAATGAGATCTTTAGGAATCTCCATATTAACGTACTATTCTTCCGTGGTAAAAGCTAAAGCACACTGATCCATCCTGAAGGTATTCTTTGACCTATGATCTTCTTCTGGTGAAGATGAGTTTAGAGATAGATCTAAGAGTAGATCATTGTCTCTTAAAGATATTATAGGGATTTAAGAGTATTTCTGATATTTTAGCATCCTCATAAATTCTATAATATTTTCTATTGATAAAAGGGTGCCGCTTACTTATTGGATCATAATCTGTGCACATTCATAAAATTCCAGGCTTGTAAAATCTTATGATCTCTCTCCAAACTCATGATTGTTTAAAAGAGTGACTAAATCTTATTTCTCTGGTATGTACCATTAACAGAATTCTTGTTCTATCTCAGATATTGATAACCATATAAGAATATAGGGATTAACACATTATTATCAATATTGTATTATATTAAATTTTCATTTCGTTGTGAATGTTAGCTTCAGTAAAACAACTTCTAAAAAAACTCTTCTTCCTTTCTCTAAGGAACTGCTCGTTTCAATCTGAATGATGTCCTCAATGGTTACTGTCATAACAATGAGATTGGCATGGAATCATGATGAAGTATAAAAACCAAATTGAATATGATTGGCGTTGGTATCAAATAAGATACTTTTAGTCATTACACATGCCATAGCTGCTACTCTTTCTTCACTGCCACATCAGCTTCAACAACCAAGTAGTGAGGACAACAAATATATCCTTGATAAAAGGAAGGATGCAGTTACAACACTTTAAGAACTAGTGGGGAAGCACGATGAAGCCATAGAAGAGACACTGTATAATATCATACTCCTACATATAGATGGTGGTCTACTCTCTACAAAGTTATTGAAGGTAAATGATATTGAAAATAACATCTTGAAAGACAACATTAAACCACTAGAACTTGATTTTGATGGGAGATCTTTTCACTGACAGACATCTTGAGGTGCAGAGTTTGCAATGAAATCTCAGAGGGATAATCACAATGAATATGAATATATTTGTTATCATATAAAATATATAGATAGACTCTTCCATCATATATGTACTTATGGTAAAATGATATATTCTATTACTTGTTTGGTTTCTGTGGTTTTAAATATAAATACATTTATAATCATATTAAAATATAATAAATAGACTCTGCCATCATTTATAGTTATGATGAAATGATATATTTAGTTACTTGCTGGTTTTTGTGCTTTTAATTTTAGTCTAATAATTTGTATTAATTTGTTTTTATTCCTACAATCTTATAAAATAGAGATTTAAACATATTAAAAAATAAATGCATGTGTAAAAATTAAAATAAGTAATTTTAAGTAATGGAGTAAAGAATCTCCTCTCCTTGATATGAAATCTTTTATAAATAAAGACAATATTTTAATTTAGGTCCTCAAGAGAATTTCTTACTAAATAAATTTCTTTAATTTTTAAAAAATTATAAATGTGAAATCTAATATTTTTAAAATCGAACCGTAGTGAATAGGATAAAACATGAGTAAAGTTTCAATTAAGATCCAATTTGATAATATAATAATATATATAATATAATAAAAAATAAAATAAAAATATAATATAATAATTATTGTTTAAAATTAATGTTCGTGTATAAAATAAAATAAAAAACTAAAAAAAATATTATATCTTTATAAAAGAAGTTATCGTTTAAAAAAATTAAAATTTTTAATTTTTTTCGCTAGAATCAATTTAATTCGAAAATTTTCCTGTATTATGCCTGATAGTTAAATCTAATTTTCAAATCCGGATAAAATCAATATTAAAATATTATATATATATATATATATATATATATATATATATATATATATATATATAAACACGAAATAGTATAAATAATTTTAAATTTTGTTTTTGTTAAATGCACTTATAAAAAATGATTATATAACTTTCAATCTAAATTAAATTCACCACAAATTATATTAAAATACCCAAAATAAGTTAATTATAGTTGAAAATCCATAATTAATAAAATAATGAAATTTAAAATTACATAATTTTTAATAGTCAAAATATTATTATTAATTTCTAAACTTTTAACCTTAAATTTTTTTTATCAATATAACATATTTTGTTATAAGATATTTTAAAATATCTATAAAAGTATAAATTATTATCATAAAAAAATTATTAATTATTTTACTTTATTACGTTTATTTCTCCTTAAATTTTCAGTTGAACTAATAGATAAATCTTTATCTTCATACTTTTAATATAATGAAAACTATAACATTAAGCGCAAGCTCAAGAAGATGATGCAGATATTAATGCATAAAAGAAGAGTAAAAAAAGAAATGAAATTAAAAGCAATTAACTACTAAAAGTTGAAAATTTTGTATTAACTTTATATTTTTATACAAAAACTTATATTAAAAAAATTAATTTATTCACCCTTGCAATTTTTTATTGCTTTCTGAAATTCCGTGAATTTTGATGTTAAAATAATCTTTCAAAAGCTTGGAGTGAAACGACGTAGTATTGTTAGGGTTTTTATTTTCTGGCCATGAAGCTGGAGGTGATGTGAGGCAGGAACAAAATCAAATTATGCACTATTTCTCCTCTGTTTTTCGCATTGCCAGGTAAAATTCTTGTCTCAAAGTCAAATTCTCTGCTTTTTGATCTAGCAAAAATCACTCTTTTAGCACAAAGATAATCAGTACTCGTTTGATTTAAATACTGTAACTTTTCCAAGTCGCTAATTGATTACTTTCTCTTTTTATTTATGTATTGATTTTACTCTTTGGTGTTGTTTTACTTATTTTCTTTTCTTTTTTGTTCTTTCTTTCTGTATTTGTTGCTTTTTGTGTAGCAGTGGCGTTGTTGATATCTGGTTTCCTAGCTTGAACTTTTCGTATCTTTTGGATTTATTTGGCTTTGACGTTCATTTTTTCAATCGTTTTCGTAATTGCCGATGTTTCCACTTTCTTTGATACATAAACAAGCCATGGGTGCTGGTAATTTGTTTTGGAGAGGCCAGATTTCATTTTTTTTTTAATTTATGCTGGCTTTAGTTTTAGAGCTTGTAATTTATTGGTTTTTGCTTTGTATAACCTCTTTTCTCGAAATAAGCATTAGTGTGTGACTGCATACAATAACCATAGGCTCCAATTTAACTTGATATTGTTTTGTATCATGGACAGCCTTTTTAATCCGAAGCTGGTAACAATGGTTGTTGTGCTTCCAACTAGTAATGGAATTGCTATGCATGTGTGAAGGGAAGTATACTCATAGTCTGGGTTCTCTACTTGATGAACTGATCAATTGAAAAGTATGCTAATTAACCTGAATCTGACCAAAATGATTTTGAAAAAGGAGTGATTATGTTCAATTGATTAATGACTAGCAGTAGAAGTATGGGTTTAGTTCATTTTAGAGGAAACGGAATATGAGAAATGGGTGGTAGTGATAGGAGAGAATGGATGTGTGATAAAAAGTTCCTCTTCTTTTCCACTTTTTACCACTTTTGTGGTTGTAGAGGGCATGCCCTGGTGCAATGGTAAAGTTGCACTTTGTGACCAGTTGGTCACGTCGGAAGCAAACTCTTCTTATATGAAAGGGTAAGGCTGCTGATATCCCTCATACCTTCGCATAGTAAGTAGCCTTATGACACCAGGATACATTAGTTTTATGTTAGAGACTGTGCATGTGTTCCCCTGAACATTCTAGTGTGTGATTGTATTTGGTAAACTTTGGTTAATTTAAATACTTTTGTTTTGCTGAACTATTTGTGTTATAGTTTACAGGAGACAATTTATGTTTCATGTCAATTTGTTGGCTGTTATTGTGCTTGACAAATGCATGTGCACCCTGCTGGAATGTATGCCTGATTTTTAATTCTCTGTATCATGCTTATTAGAGACTTAAATAATTCTCTTGCTTGAATTTTGATTCCTATTGTAGTGGCATTGCAGTTTGTACATAATATTTCCAGTTAAACCTACATTGCAAACTTGGCAATGATACTAATATACTACTGGTGAAAGATTAGTGTGACATGGGATGTAGAGGAGAATTTGAATTCTACTGCTCCTGCAACTATTTCACTGACAAATGAAAGCAGACTTTGTATAGATCATTTCATTGGTCCATGCTATGTTTCCGACTCTGACATGCACTTGACACTCAGACTGTGGTCATGTTGTCCCCAATTAAAGCTAATTTTGTTGCAATCAGCCGTATCTATGGGTAGAAAGCATTCTTTTCTTGCAAGGGCGTGTACTTTCTAAACATGGAGGTCATTTCTGGATGGACACAGTGAATTACAACATTTGACTGTGGTATTGAAACACTTAAATGGCCATGTCAAAAATACCTAATAATAAACCTGGAGATTTAAGCTCTACAAAAGATATATTTGTTTCAGCTGTACGCTTTGCAGTGTCTATTGAGGGACCATGTTTACCCTTTGGTGACGAGCTAAGAATCTCTGCTCAAGAGCAAATTGACTACATGCTAGGAGAAGATGGAGATACTACGGTCATTGTTGCTGATGACGAAGTACAGTCAGAAGTAACAATGGGTGTTTACAATATCATTCATTCATTTGAAACGGATTTGTCTTCCTTGCTTTTGGACGCTTCCCTTGAGCCTGAGGGTGTGTACAATAGGATAATGAAAAGGGTATCTGATCTTGAATGGATGTGCAATGTGCTCCCAAAGATGGATTTGATGAAGAATTTTGTTTCTAACTGGGCTGCAATTTCAGGTAAAATTTTGGGGATCATTGAAGACAAGAAACTTGACCGTGTAATGTGGGGGCTGAAAGTAAAATTGATAGAAGTAGCATGTAAAGTTTTGGAAGCAGTTGGTTATGGTAGTGTGATTCTTCCAGCTCCATGTAGAGTGCAATTGCTGAAGACCTGGTTTCCGTATGTCCGGAAGATGAAGCCCTTGTTGGATTCAAAAGCCGTTGAGGAGACTGGTTTTCCTTACAAAATGGATGAAGATTTGTGCCAGGCCATTGAGGGAGCAATTGTGTCACTGATATTGACATTGCCATCAAATGATCAAGCAGACATTTTGGCAGACTGGATCAATAGTAGGGAAGTTGGATACCCTGACTTGAGTGAGGCTTTTGAGGTCTGGTGTTATAGAACCAAATCTGCCAAAAGGAGATTAGAGGAAGGTTTAGATGGGCACAGTGATACTGCTGTCAGCCCTTGAGTTTGGTTCTAAATACTAAACTTTGGCCTTTAAAAAAAAATTATAATTGGTCTATTCAACATTGTAAGATTATAATCTCTGATTTTTGCTTCATGTATCTGTATCTTATATGTATCAAATGCTTATGTTTTAGGGTATCTTACTGATAAGTATAGATGAAGTATTTAGACATATGTGGTATTTGCACTTTTATTTGTTTAAGGGATTTGATACCAATATTTTGGATATTTCACCGTTTGTTGGTGAAGTGTCCAAGTTTCTAAAGCACGTATATTAAAAAAAGAACTACAACGAGACATAAATATATGTAATATAGAAACATTGTAGTTTCATAAATTAAATAGGGGAATTGTTCTTTTTATGAATGTTTTTAAAGTTTTTCTAAAAGACTTAGTCTCAAGTGCAGTTATGAAGAAGCTACTCTCATAATTTAAAAGTAGTTTTATATAATTTTTAATGACACATCAATTTTATTCCGCTAATCATTTTTTATTCCAACCCAAAAGCTCTATAACATTTATTGGATTTAACAACTCTTTTTGGGTTGAGTTAAATTTACTCTAATTTTTAATCCAACTCAATTAAATTCAATGAAGTTAAATTGAGCTGATGTGTTTTTTAATTTAACCTCTCATCCAATTATAACGGACTACATTGAGTTAGGTCATTAGGTTTAAGAAAAAAATTATCATGTTTCAAGAAAAAAGACTACCATAAATATTTACAACTTTTCTAAACATTTTAACGGCAATATTTCTAATACATTTATAAATAATATTTATATTTTAAAACTTAGAATTATTTTTTAAAGTATATTTGGTAAACAGATAATTTTTTTATTATATAATTAAATTAGATTCATTGGATTGAAAATTTATGAACTTGATACTCAACTAGTAGGGATGGCAAAACGGGCTAGGCCCGGCGGGCTAGCCCGCCAGCCCGCCATAATATGGCGGGGCGGGTTGGTGTTTTCAACCCACCAGCCCGCTTTGGCCCGCCTCGCCAAGCCCGCCAACCCGTCGGGCCAACCCGCGGGACGGGGTGGCCCAGCCCGCGCCCGCCTAATTAATAAAAAACTAATTTTTTATTATAATAAAATTAATTATAAAGATAATATATAAAGTTAAAAATTTTAAAAAGAGAATTAAAAAAGTTTCATTCTCACATAAAATATTCTCCTTCCCGAAATATAATCTTATCTCCTGTTCTCCTTATTTATCCTAAGCACTCGATTATATTTATCATTATTACTTGAATTAAAGGTATAAGAATTACTCAACCAAAAATAATATGAAGTTTTATCAAATAAAAAAGATATAGGTATTTGAATTTTTCAATATAAAAAATATAAATTTTATAAGTTTAACGTTATATATATATATATATATATATATATATATTTGTTATTATTTATTATTATGTAAATTTTATTATTGTTCTAAATTATAATTTCTTAAAATAATGTATTGATTTATATTATTAAATTGAAATAATATATATATATATATATATATATTGAATTATTTACAAACAAATAATAATCTTATTATTAAATTTATTAAAAAAAATTATTTAAAAAAAATTATTTTTTCTAAATTATGACGGGTCAACTCGCCAACCTGCCCTTGGCAGGGCGGGCCAAGGTCTATAGCCCGTTATGACTATATCGGGCCAGCCCGTCCCGCCCCGCTTTTGGCGGGCCGAAGACGGGGCGGGCCAAAACGGGGTGGGCTGGCCCGTTTTGCCATCCCTATCAACTAGTAGACTGAAAATACCCACTTAACACAATGAGCTAACCTAACTCAAAATGTAATTTGATTGGATTAAAATGGGCGAATTCTTAGATTGGGTGCAACCCCCTTAAATTCCTACTTCACAGGCAATTAAACACAACCAAGCTGAGAGTTATCACCTGTGTAAAAAAAATGAACAAAAAAGAATATACAAATGTACAAAACTTATATCCAGTAACACCTTTTTTTTCAAATTTTTTATTTTTTTCTTACAGTATTTTTAGGATTTCTAAAACCAAACCAACATAAAAGTATTGGAGAATGAAATGATGTAAGGAACAAGTACAATGAAGAAGGGTGCAATTTTGTGACATTGCATATGTAACAAGCTAAAATTTCAATAATATATTTTAGAACAAAAGCAATTATTATGGGATAATAAAAATTATTTATACATTTTCAGGTGACAAACAAAATTGAATGTTCTCTCAAGAAGGTGGCAGAGAAGAGCATCAAGCCCAAAGCAGTGTGATGACCAAAAATACAATGAGGGCCAATCCAAGACAGAATCCCACTAGAGCCACGAAAGCCTGAACATGGTCAAATCATATAACTCAGAACAAACAATAAAGATAAAAAAGATATTATTCAATTCAAACTTACCTTGCCTTGTGATTGAAACTTAAACTTATCAGTAAACCAGGACAATCCTCTGTCAACAAAAGGTGCCATTGCCAATGCTCTGCATAAGATATGGAATGGTATAGGAACAGAACAGTTTCTAACTATATTTACAAAGATTTAAGCTTAGCTGGTGCACAAGACAGGAACATAACTGCATGCATTACACAACCAACAAAGGGTTCAGGTAGCTCACCCTCCAGCTCTTATAAGTTTAGTAACTTGACTACCAGCCCACACCATGGCCATCACTTTTAGAAATCTACACATCACCGTGAATTTGTTAAACGTCATATCAAATCAACAAACCATAATAGACAAACCATTGGAGAAATGACAATAGTATTTGCTTACCTTTGTACAGCTGCAGCATAACCCATCTTTGCAGGTGCTGGAGCAATGTAAAACCTAACAAACATAAAGCATGTTTATTTCTAGTTGTATACTTGCAATAAGTTTTGAATAAGATATCCTAGCAAATAGTTATAAAGGGTAGGGCAATTCCAACTTTCCAAGTAACAACCCTTACCAAGAGAACAAGAGAAGTAGGAAGACGTGAAGAACTCTCTCAATACAAATTTATAATTTCTTTCTCACAGAAACTAGTTCACCAAGAAAACTCAACAAAAACGCATGCTAAGAGGCATAAATGTTCACATACCACACAAAAAGGAATGTTGCCAGATAATATGCAGTGTTCAATAGTCCATAGGATAGGATTCCAGAAACTCCATATCTCCTCAGTTTCTTCAGGATCCTGCCATATTAAATAAGTATGAGCTACAATTATTTCAACGCAAAGAATCCACCCAAAATGCAAGATAAATACGATTTCTATCATTTCTGAATGCATATTTAAACACAAAAGATGATGGATGAAGAGAGGGCGATAGTCAAGAAGATAGAGGGAGAACCATGAAGGACAAATGTAGACAGTGAAAATCTACATATATAACACTAAAGAGCATATCAGCCATTCTAATTTTGTATCCATGAACGCAAACAATAAGTTGAAAAAGGTTTCTTGATTTGAAATATTGAAAAAGGTATCAAACAATTACTTCTTTCCTCCACTTTTCTAACTTCCTTCCAGGAAAGATAATGCAAGATATAACATGTTCCCGGCTTTGAATTAGACTGGATCAAATACTTGGTTTTTGAATTTACAGTATCTTAGTCAGGAGAGTTTAATGAAAAATCTTCCGCAAGATGAGGAGGTGTAATGAAATCACACATTAACTAGAAATATGATAATATTATAATATATAGGTGTCACCTTATTGACCTGATTTTTTGCAAAGTTGAATTAGGTATCTTGCCATTTTCTAATATAGTATCATAGCCAACTCTAACTATGTTGAGACTATGTTGAGGTATGAAAATCTCCTTCAAAATTTTCCTCGAAATAAAGGAGAATGATGAAAAAACCCTAAAACCTAACATTATAGTATATTATAGTATATAAGTGAGTACAATTCTCATTTACTGAACTGGTTTTACAGAGTTGAATTAAGTATCTCATTATTTTTTAATAGAGTTAAACATCAATTAGTTCATAAACTTCTTCAATCATAAAGATGCAAGAAGCAAAGCAGAAAATAATACATACACCAAGATTTCATCTTTATGAGATAAAACAACTTTACCAGCATCTAACAATCAATGAAAAAATATTGAAGGACAAGTTGTACATACTCATTGCTTGTCACTGACTTTCCTTTCTTATTCTCTTCGCTTTCTGATGAACCTGAAAATATGGTAATTATGATACTTAAAAATTCAATGTAAGATCTGAACACGATTTGCATCCATAAATTAATATAATGATCTACCTGACTATGTTTGCCGTATGAGCATAGGTTAACTCTTCTCTTTCTAATTCCAATGCATATTCAACCAGATATGCAATGGAAATTTGGTCCATAAGCAATGGAAATTTGGTCCATATGCAATGTAAGTTTGTTTAATAAATTTAATCTTCAAAATATTTAAACTTTCATCAAGAAATTTTTTTTACTGTTGGGCCTTTGTCACTAAAACATTAGAGAAGAAATTGTTTGTCTTTATATGTAGGAGAATTGGTAACTCTATTTCAAGGGCCATTAGCCCGTGTGCCAGAAGAATTAACAGCATAGCCATTGCTAAAGGCGTGCTGCAACTTCTACATTACATTCAAAAAGTGAATGGCCAATTTAAAAATTGGACCTCCGAAATGTGAGCATCCAATATTGTCCCCGTTTTAAAATAATAATGAGAAACTTGGAACAATTTAAAAGTACAAATCCTAGTTACTGCATAATTTTGGAAATAAAAAATATATACCTTCATCGCTGTATGCATCTGAAAGCTCTGATGTCTGACCTTACACCAATGACAGATAACACAATAATCCAATTAGTAAAAAAATAAGCACAGTAATGGAAAGTAAAAGAAGAGCAGATAAATCACAATTTTAAACCTTGTCCATGACCATGGTGCAGATAGATGATACACATTCTAAAGCCTAGTTTCTTTGAGACATTTTTATACAGGATTAAACTCATCTAAATAAGCAACTCATTCAGAGTGTAAAGTGAGTGATCTTGATCGTTGATGAGAAAATCAACAATTAATATTATGTATGTGTACATACATTACAAATCACCATCGACTGAAATGGAGTATCAACAGTTAGTTACTACTGCCATTACTTACTTTACCCTTCCAAATCCTTTTTTTTTTACAAGGCTATTCAAGGTTAACTTACATCTCACAACATAGGTTTCATTTGGTTGGCAATAAAGATGACAAATTGACAAAAAAATACACAATAAAATCAACATAAAAAGACACAATTACATGTTAGATTACTTACACTGTCATTGCTGTAACTTGAACAAAGCCTTCTTCCATTGACAGTGAGGCACAAACGGGTACTGTTCTTCAGTTCAGGTAAGTACCATGGCATTAAAAGGGTACCAACCCTTCTCCGGGGGAAGGTCTCAAACGCACACTAGAGACATGCCCAAATAGCAGAAAACGAAAAAGATCATACATTTAGAAAGAAAAGTAAGAAATTGTGTCGAATGCGGCTGAAAATTGGCGTGGTGGTACCTGGTGGGGGTGGGGATGAGAAAGGGGTGAGGAAGTGAAGTGTGGTGCATGCTTAACAAAAAGACACATTGATGGATGGTTTCTCCTTCCTGTTCTGTGACTGCCAATACCCACATATAAGGAATTAACTTAACTGGTTGTGTATAGAAGGAAAATTACATAAGCCATTATTTTACCACAAAATTCTTACATAATTTTATCCTAAATTCAGTCCAGTTTTTATTATTTTAAATAAAAAATTATACGCACTTAATTATAAATTATTTATACAAATTATTTTCATAGAGTAGCTAATTACTTATTTATTACATCCAACTTTTGAAAAATAATATGATATTCAAAAATTTATATATTTATATTTAACTAAAATTATTATATTAAAATAATTTAATTATAATTTTTAAAATATTTTTCACTCTAGAAATTTTATTTAACTATTTATAAAAGTTTAGGATATACTGATTAATAAAATAAGATTTCAATTTATACTTAACTTACAAAAAAATAATATACAATAAAATGGAATGTTAATATCTTTAAATTTATTTTTTAATCATGGTATCATTTATCATTCATCCTCCAAAGATTAACTTCATCACAGTTCTTGAAATCTTCCATTTATGGAATCTGCTGTTTTTTAATATACAAAGTGCAATGGATCAATGGTAAAATCCACCTCATCTTATTGCAAAATGATTGATTACTTGCACACTTTTCTCTCTTGTTGCCAAATTTACAACTCTTTCTTTATTACTTGCTTTAGCTGTTATTCATAGTAAGTACCTTTAGCAGAAATGTAAATAATGCTTTTGTGCATGGAGATCCAAATGAAAAGGTTTATACAATGTTATCCTCTGGAGTTGAATATAGATTGTAGATTGACAAAATTCTTACATGAATTAAAGCATTAAAGCAGGCTAACAGACAATGGTTTATCAAGCTCTCCATCTTCTTACAATCTCTTGGTTTCATCAAGAAAATTTCTTCATCCTTCACTGTTTGCTGCTGCATGTTGATGATATAATTCTTGCAGGAGATTCTTTATCTGATATTGATACAGTGAAATGTTTCTTGGATACCACTTTCCAAATTAAAGATCTTGGCCAACTTGAAATGTTTGGTGTCTTACCAGGCCTTGGAACTTGCTCCTTTTACTGCTATCATTTTCAAGATATTGGGATAATAATACTTCTGTTTTTTACTTTATAATAATTTCTACCTATAAATACAAAACACAATTACTTGTATAATCAATCAATAATATCATATATTTCTCAGTCATCACAGTTTTTGTTTCTGAATACATCTATCAAGGTTTCTGATTTAAAACCTAAAATTTTTCTTCATATAATGTACATCATTATTCAAGTGTGATACATAAATACATAGACCAAAATATATGTTTCAGCTTTTTGTGATATAACGTAACAAGGAATGAAGTTGTAAAAACTAATTGTATTTATGTACCAAGATTCCATAGAAATATTTAAAACTTTACTTACCTTAAAAGGGGATCCTATTTTCTGGAACCATAGTGGTTGTGGTGAGTGTTGGCAAATTTTGGGTCATGTATATATATATGATATATATTTAAATGTGTTAGGGTCATTATTTATTAAGCCAAATAATAAAGTGATCTGAATAAATTAAATTTTTTGCTAAAGGCATATGTCATGAAAATATGATTGTGTAGAGACCATAGAGTAATTTTTAATTTAATGAGGGGCCAAATTAAAAATACTAAAACTTAAGTAATTAACCTAATTTTTGTTATATAAAGGGTCATGATCCCCTTCTGAGAACACACAGACAGAACGAAGTTACAGTCCCGTTCTTTTCTTTCTATCCTCATCAAGAGAGAAAATCAAGAGGGAAATATAGGTGTTCTTCAGGTGGAAGACCTTAAGATCAAATCAAAAGTGCTCTACAAAGAATATCATCATTATGACTAATTTCGCATTTAGTTTATAACATGTTTACAGTATGAGATTATAGATATATACATCTCATGCTGGGTAAAAGTTTATGATTTCAGCAAAGAATAATCATATTTTATAATTTACAATATTTAGGGAAAGTTTAAAACTTCAGGTGGCATTAAGAAACAGAACAAAGAAGAGTATTCAACAATTTTGGTTTTGTTGATATTGATAATTTATTTTTTGAGTCGATTGAAACTGTCCATATTGGAAATAATCAACAATACAAAGGTAAAGTTTAATTGATGGCACCAAATTTTAGAAGTAAAGTTTAATTTTCATTCGTTCATACCATTATTATCATTTTTTAAAAAATTGAAAATTAATCAGAGATCACTACATGAAACCCTTAAGTAATTTTTATAAATTAAAAAAAATGTATGAAAATATATAAGTTGATAGAAAGATAAAGTCTTTTCAATGAAAATCCATGCACTAATGTTAAAATGGTTAATATATCACATGGCACGACATAATTATGAGGACACATATAATACTATAAATTTGACAAAAACAAATTGTAAATCAAAGTAAAGAATCAATCTTTCAAAATAATCGAAAAGAAAGTCATTTTATATAGATAGAATAAAACATGTTATCTATTTAATTATTGTGATATTTTTGCTCAAATATACTAAGTTTGAAACATAAAAACAAAGACTTAATTATATTTTTAGTTTGAAAAAACATGTTTTTTCAGTCCTTTAATATTAAAATTGAAGAGAAAAAAAATATTTTTTTTTCAAGACTAAAATAATCTCTTTTTTAAAATTAAGAAACCCAAATAAAATCCATTCCAAATAAATACTAAAAATATAATCAAATCAAACATTAAAATAACTATAAAATGATATTGTCCATGATGCCGAATTAGTATGTCTTATATCCATAGCACAAACAAATTTGGCGGGATATGATGATGACATAATCACACAAATAACTAGCTATATGATAATTCTGTTCATTCAATTTTTAAAGAATTACTTTGCCTTGTCCAACTCTTACACGTGCAAGGTCTCAATCAATCTGTACTCAGGGACAGAACCAACAACATTAAACAAATCTCTTGCCAACAATGATACATTTCTTGCCAAAGCATAGATTACACCACCAAACCCTAGACTCTTTCTTCCTGTTTTTGAGTCCAGCAAAATGCGTGCAAAAACTTCTTCAATGAATTAAACATAAAAGTAAATGGGAAAGAATATAATATTCTCAAATTTGGCTAATAAATTCTCCTTGTTTCTCATTAATTGGAGAAAGGTTCAGGGCCCTTGAAAGGATATCCGAATATGCTATTGCTAACACTCTCTTAAGATCTAATGGATTCATCACTACCCTTATACTTCAGAATTTGTTTTAACTCACTCTTCTCTATAAGTATCAGTGTGTGTCAGAGAAAGAATAGATTTGGAGAAATTGATATTCTTTGTGTTTGATCTCACTGTTCCCCCATTATTTATGTTTTGATAGAATTACAATATATAAATATGCTCCTTTGTAGTTTTCCTAAGACCCTCTGTTCTCTTTGGCTATGCTTTGTTCTACTATATCAAACCCTTATTGTATATATATAGTATCAAGCCCTTATACCCACCAAATAATAGGCATTTGATTTAGTAGAAGCTTCTGTTTGTTCATCGTTATTGGTTCATATATAAAAAATCTTTAAAATATTTTGGAGCAGTGTAGAACAATGCTATGTATTTAGTGTTTTTTTTTTAAGAGATCTAGGAAATATAGAGCTCCAAATATAATTTCTACACACTTTTTTTTTTTTGTGTATAATTAATAACTTGTTGGCAACTTGAAGAGCAAGTCTTTCAAGCAGATAGATGATGACGACAGAAACTCAGAGGGTAGTGGTAATCCAGGATGCATCAAGAGATGTTAGTGCAAAGGCTATCCTTGGGGCCCTGGAAAAGTTTTCTGTTAAAGCTGGTGATCAGCTTATAATTGTTGCTATCCTTGACTGGATTAGCAGTCCCAGTATGTTTTCTTTTCTTCCAAGAAAACCTTGTAAGGATTCACTAAAATTTTCTTTGCCGCCTTTGTTAGAGATATATAGCCTTTAACCCTTGCCTTGTTTGGTAGAAGGAAAAATAGAGAGGAAATGAGAGATGTGAAAGGAAAGAAAAAAGTCTATATGTTAGGATTCTAATAAAGAAATCAAAAGTTGTGGGATCCACATCTTATTTTCATTGTATTTTTTTCACCTATTTTACTTTATTGTTTTTATTGCACTTTTCATTATTTTTCTTAAACCAAACACTTATTTTTATTTTATTTCTCACTTTTTTTTTCATCTTTTCTATTTTTATCTATTTTATTTCTCTTTTTTCCTTTTCTTCGAACCAAAAGGTTTCATTAATTTGATAAAAGGAGAGGAATACAAATATATAAAATTAGATACATAAAGAAAAGTGAAATTTTTAATAAGCCGTTTTACTTACTAATTGTAATTGATATTGCTAACATTTCTTTTCTTTTTATTTTTTCTCTTTAGTGGGTTACATGGTCAGAGTTGATTCTAGTTCAATGATTTCAACAAACAAGAAAATAATTGAAAAAAGGCATTCCAAAAAAAAGAAAGAATATCTTGTGAGCAGAAACATAAAGGAAATCTCCAACTACTGTAAATTAAATGAGGTTAGCACAATTCATATACTTAACATATAACTCTGAAATACCACATAAATGTAACTAACACTTAATACAGTTAGAGAAGGGATTTGACAAGATGAAGGGCAGAAAATTGTTATGTATTAACATTAATATAATGAATGTTTTATACATACTCACTTGTATAAATAATAATCTTGCGATAAACTCAATAGATCTTTACATAGTGTCTAAGAACAAAATGGTTGATGAAACTTTTCTTTGGAAATGATGTTTTCACAGATTGGATTCCAAATTGAAGTGCTTGTAGGCCCCACTGCTGAGGTTGCTTCTAATGCTGCCAAGGATTTTCAGGCTACAACTTTGATTTTATTTAGGTTTATTTCTAACTTCCAAATCGTTTTGCCTTGCTCTACAACATACTTAAGATGGAATTGCTCATGTTCAGAAAACAAAAAAAAAATGCACACAAAAATTCCCACTTTTAGCAGAAAAACAAGATGTCTAGAATCAAAACATAGGATCTTCCGTTAATTTTAATCTTTTTAGAACTCAGACTTAGGCAGATACGCCAATTAATGTGGCTAGAATCTGCCCTTAGGCACTGGTTTGCCTTTGCCTATATTTTAAGCGGAATTCATACTGACCCTTGCGCAGCTGCTAATTTAGGGCCACTGTCAAGGAAAATTAGTTTCTCTAACAAAACTAGAAACTAGCTTATGATATCAAATTATCCAATGAAAGATTATTTATATACACTGTGCTAAAGCTATATAGCTTTGCCTCAATGCAGACAGATCCACAAAGACATGAAGTATTTCATGCGCCAGCACCCTTGTGGTATGTATAGGATAACAAGTGACAATTCAATTGAGAGGTTGAAAGATCCAAAATCAACAGCCAGCACCAAATCACTTTTAGACAGGCTAGAAAATGTAAGCTATAAAGAAATGTTTCCAGGAAGTGAAGAGGAAGAACGTTCTTTTCAGAGTAAGTATTTTTTTGGCATAATAATATTGTCTAAATACACAAATGCATAAATTAATATTTCTACAATGTCATAGACAGGTTATGTGTTCTCTCTTTTTTATTTTTTTTCCTTACATACAATCAACAAATCAGAAAGCATAGGAAACTAAATATAGCAATATCTGCAAGACACCACCTATAATGTCATAAACTTTTAATTAAATGAACTGTAATAATATATTTCCATTTTTAGTGTTAGCCGAACCATTGACATCACTTCTCAAACCTTTGGAAAAGTCAAGAAGATTCAATGATAACTTTATTTGAATTCTGTGGTGGTCAGTCCTATCAAATAATGAAAATCCTTGCCATAAACACAAATGATCCCGGTGTTCTGTCATACCCTATCTATCAAACAAACTGCAAATATATCTAATCTAAGTGTAGTTATCGCTTTATGATGATTAAACAAAAATGGTAAATATATGTTAACTATGAATAGCTAGTCTTTTGGTCAATCAATCCCATCCACTTCCATTGCACATACTGAAGATTCTCAATTTTTACACAAGAATCTTGCAAATAAAAATTATGGTGGAAGTTTATCATTGTTGAGTTAGTTGTTGTTGATGTAATAATAGAATGAACAACCTTTAGCTCCATTCACTGCTATATAAAACAGCTAAAGAACCTGAGTAAAATCTCCATTAATTTAATGATATATGATGCTACTTAAATACCTATGTATTCCTTTTTTATGATTAAGTGTACAGCTGACTATGGCTAATGTTGCATTAAGCAGTGTCTAGGTCTTCATCAAGTGATATGTTGACATCAACTGGAGCCTCAAGTCAGTGGAGTACAGAAGTCTCCAATTCTAGTTTCGGAAGCTTGCAGAATGGCCGTCAATACCTAGAGGGAAACTTTCATTCAAATATACAAGAAACAGCAGGGAACCAAACACTATTTCACATTTCGGAGGATGAAGAAATGAACGAATTGGAAGAAAATAGAAAAGAGAAACATGGTAGAAATAATGAAACATCTCATATGCAGGAAGAATTTACAAATCCACTTTGTTCTGTGTGCAATAATCAACGACCAAAAGTTGGACTGAAGAGAGATTTCAGTTATGCAGAGCTCTATAATGCTACACAAGGATTTTCTCCCAAGAACTTTCTGTCAGAAGGTGGATTTGGATCTGTCTACAAAGGACTGTTAAATGGAATGAAGATTGCAGTTAAGCAACATAAGTGTGCAGGCTTCCAAGGAGAGAAGGAATTTAAGTCAGAAGTGAATGTACTTAGCAAAGCAAGACATGAGAATGTGGTTGTGCTGCTAGGTTCATGCTCAGAACGAAATAATAGGCTACTTGTGTATGAATATGTCTGCAATGGCTCACTTGACCAACATCTATCAGGTATGCGAACATGCTTTAATTCTAGTACTTTATGTTTCTTTTTATGTTTTTCTTGATACAGCTTATAAGAGACTAATTTTTGTTAAATTGATGTAGCACACTCTCGATCACCTCTTAGTTGGGAAGATAGGATCAATATAGCAATTGGAGCTGCCAAAGGCTTACGGTACTTACACAAGAATAACATTATACACAGAGATGTGAGACCAAACAATATCCTTATAACACATGATTATCAACCATTGGTAATACACCAAGTCTTGAATCTACATATATTTGCATTCATATGATGCAAATTAAAATATGACATACATTCAAATTTACAAATTGCAATGCTGCATCCAGGACCGCTGCATAAGATGTTAGTCCAGACTATTAATAATGTTCAATTGATGAATGATGATGGAGCATTTAAGAATGAATATAGTAGTAGCATTACTTAATCTAATTGTGCAAATGAGATAGCAAAATGACATAATAGTTCGCGTGTACTCTATTAGCGCGTACTCTATTAGCGCGCTGTTAATTCCATAAAGCAGCTGAACTTCATTGAGGCTAACATTTTTCTTTCCTGGTGAATTTGTTAGCTGGGAGACTTAGGATTAGCAAGAAACCAAAATCAAGACTCGATACACTCAACGGAAGTTATTGGAACTTTGGGGTATTTGGCACCAGAATATGCAGAGCATGGGAAAGTGTCTACCAAAACAGATGTATACTCTTTTGGAGTGGTTCTACTACAGCTAATAACAGGAATGAGAACTACAGATAAAAGACTTGGAGGAAGAAGTCTTGTGGGATGGGTAACAATCTAAAGGCCATGAAATTTCAATTTAAGTATCTTAATGCTTTAGTACAACCTCAGCTCATTAAGGCATCATTATATGATTCAAATCAATTTTCATATCTTAGTTTAGTGTCAAGGACCATGGTTACCAATATGCTAAAATCTTAGTCACTTATGGATTTTCTTTACAATCATTGAAGACATTTATGTTAATTGGTAGTTTTTTTTCCAGTTGACCTTTAAGTACATGAACAGAATCAACTGCTGTTGATAATGTTCTTTTTATTTTGACTTTAAAGAAATATTAGTTATGTATGATTTATAAGATTTAACTCCAACATTCTGATAAATATACATAATTAAATATCCTAATTAGTTTGTTGAATAAATATCCAAAAGAATTTTCTTGCAGGCAAGGCCACTTTTAAAAGATAGGAACTATCCAGATTTAATTGATGAAAGGATCATTAACTCTCATGATGTCCATCAACTATTTTGGATGGTTCGAATTGCAGAGAAATGTCTAAGCAGGGAGCCTCAAAGGAGGCTAAATATGATTCAGGTAGGCTGCATTATCTGATAATTTCTTTTAGAGAATAGGTAGGCTACAATTTTGAAAATTGTCTTCTTTGTATTTTATTATTTATACGCGTTGAACAAGTTTGGAAATGTCTAATAGTAAAGAGTATGTTAGAGAAAGTGCTAGGTTATATGATAAACAGACATATATAGCTTTTCCTAACATTTATCGTCAACTTGATAAAATGTATGATCAGATTCTAAGGTGACGCTTTTTTATTCTACTTTACTTCATATTTGTCATTACAGGTTGTTGATGTTTTGACTGACATACTGGAAGGAAGAAGATGTGACATCATATTAAGGGATTACTCCCCTACAAGGTCAGATTCAAACTATAGTACATCAGACTCTGATGAATCAGAAGATGAAATGCAAGAATCCTTCAAGCTTGAAGATGATTTACTAAGTCACAGTTCAGAATCCACAGAAAGTAATATCATAAGTCAGATGATGCACATGAATGTAAGACAGCCACCATCCCCTCCAATTCAAAGCATCTCTTCATGTAGCTCATGCTCATACAAGTTTCACGATGAGTCAACAAGGGATGGTGAAGCAATAGAAATATCAAAATCCAATGGGGGATTACTCAATGCTTAGATGTCAGGCTTAGTATATAGCTGAAATAAGGGAGAATATTTCAGTTTAGTTCCTTTAAATGAATAAAGTTTCCATTCTTAAAGTGGTTATTTTGTGATAGAATATGGTTACCTAGTTGAGATGGATTTTATCTCCTAGGATGAAATATTATTATGGATGGATTTAGTTTCATCGTCTTGCAGCTTAAAATGTTTTACCCTATGAATAAAATGTATGGTGTCAAATGTTAAGATTTTTTTCTTCCCAAAAACAATCATCAGGTTTCTTAGTTTGTGCAATTTATATTTCCTCAAAAATCTTAGTATTTTCAAGTCAAACATGAACGGGAGATTGAACTTGAATTGCTACAGTGTGCTGATAAGCCTAATTAATCTGTACTGCATATATTCCTTCAAATGCGTGTACTAAGGATATCCCAAATTTTCAGTCAGATACTAATTTACTCAAATCACATAAATCACAAATGAATTTTGTCTCATTCAGTGCACGGTCAAAAAAGTAAATCATGACCAAAATGCATAAAACACCAAATTGTATGCCGGTTGTATTAGGCTTGGGTTGTAATATATTCCTACAAAGTTATTTTAAGAGGAGTTTGTCAGCAATCAAATAGGATTTGTTAAAATACTCCCACAAAAGGACTCAAATTGATAATTTTAGTCCTCAAATTATATAAAAGAAATTACACCACTAACCCAAACTGAGTCTTAATATATTTCAGTCAAGTTTGGGACTCAAAAACTTACAACCCAAGTGACGTTTCCCTCTCAAGGGAACATTTCTGCAGTCAAAAATTCCAGACTAGGTGTTTGATCATTTGCCTGAATAAAAAAAAAAAAATGGTTTCTCATGAGAACTTGTGAAATTAATGAAGGAGAATATAGAATAAGAGGAATTTTCACAGTTTGCTCTACAACACATGCTTATTGGATTGAATTTTTTTTTATTTTTTTTTACCAGCTAAAAATCACTTCTTCCAGTAATTTTCCTCTTTCTCCTAATTTGACCACCTATTTCATATTGTTTAGACAAAAAAAAAAAAACAATTATGACTTATTGGCTTGACTTACTAATCAAATGAACCCGCTTCCAGAATCATAAATTTATTGAAAGCTTAAGCATGGACTGGTGTCAACATTATCAAACGCAGCAGTCAAAAGTAAACAATTTTTAAAGAACGTAATCATAGCAGATGTGAGAGTTGAAGAAGAAAATATACCGAAGATCCTCAAAACCCTTTGCATGTCTAGCAAAATGTCAAACAGAAGGCAAAGTAGATTACCCAATCCCACAACAATGGCACAAAATAGGGATTTTTCCTTTGATCATGCATTTCCTGAGGATGGACCTAGGTGTACTTGTGGAGCCTTGTCCTCCTCCCCTCATTTTTTACTTTCAATTTAATTTATTAATTTTAGATCATTATTTTATTTAGGGACAAGTGTGTAAATTACATGACTAAATTATTTTTTAATAAATATTTTATTCTTTTCAAATTTTTATTGTATAGATAGTTAATTATACTTTTTGTCTATTTTAGATAAAACATTGGAATATAATTTATCTTTCTTTCTAATAGTTTTTCTTTTATAATAATAATAATAATAATTTATTATTATTATCATTTGAAAACAAAATAATTTATTAGATTTTTTATTTTGATTTAAAAATAAAAATTATGTATTAATATTTGTTAATAGACAAACTTGCAAACATTATATTATATTGAAATACATTAACAAATATTTTATTATTATTTTAGCATCTCATCACCATTTTATTTATATTCCCTTTGTTTTTCTTATAATTTTTTTTTAAAATATTGGGAAGAAACATTATGTAATTGAAAACATAATCAAGGAATCAACTTTAATGTAGAAAAGTGTTATCTTAACCAAAGTTGCATTACATTACATGCAACTCATTAACAAGTTACAAAGTATGTTCACTTGATTATGATACATTATTTGAATTGAAATATGACTAATAATTAAAAACATGACTTGATTTAAAATATACTCATAAATTAAATTTATAAAAAAGTATGATGAGTTTTGTAAAAGTTTTCCTCCAAACTTCATAAAATTTAAGAAAAAAATATAAATATTTTAAACTAATCTCTTTTAAATTTAAAGTCCAATTTGTTTTATCTTTTATAGAACCTAGAAAGTCAAAATCATTCCAAATAAATCTTGTCTAGATCCATTACATGATAAGTTTCTTAACAAAGTAATATAGGATCTCAATTTTCTTTAAAAACATTTTTAAGAGAGAAAAAAATTATAAATTAAAATTTCCTAATTATAAATTAATTTTTAAATAATTTCTTATGTAATTGTTGTAAAATTTTATATTTAACCAAAATATTATCTATATAAATGGGTTCATTATGGATTCTTTTAGAATATTTTCAACTATTTTGAATGAATTATAAAATGATAAAATAGATCAACGGATAAAATAGATCAACCTGTTAAAAAATGGGTGAAGTAAATTGATTTATCTTGAGTTATAAATTTTGATTTATCCGTGAAAATATAAATTGACGATTTAGCTCATTAATTCTTATTTTCTATAAAAAAATTTATATGTAATTTTTTAAATATATTTTTAATTATATGAATATTTTTAAAATTTTATTTATTAATTAATATTTTTTATTAAATAAATTAAAAAATATATTATATTTATACATTAAAATAACTAATTATAATTATTAATTTAAATTTAATTAAATAATATTTATAATTTAAATTATAAAATATTTTAATATTTTAATAATATAATAAAAAAATATAATATTTTTAATTATAATTTTTATTTTTATTTTAATATATAAATATTTATTTTAAGTGGGTATGATTATTTCATCCATCCTTAATTAACCGATTAACAGATGAAATGAAATCGAACTAACTTGTTTGCCTCGCGTAGAAGGTACACGACATTATAGTAATTGTTAAGGAAAAGTTTCAATAATTCTTTTATTTTTTAATTTTTTTTAATTACTACTTTATTGAAGGTTAAGCAAAACTAATACTAAAACATGTAAAAGAGAAGTAATTATTAAAATTTGTTAGTTAAAATTTATTAAATTCTCATAAAGTTATAGATTTCACATCTTATTTTTATAATTTTCAATTAAAAATGCCTTTTAACAATTTGCTGTGTAGAAACTGCTTCAACATTGTTGCAGGGTATTAAAATATATATCAAAAGTCTACCAGTTGTGACTTGGAAGCTACAATTATTCCCTCTTGCTATAAACGTGCCAATCTCTTGCACATTGTTATTCCAATGATGTCCAAAACTCATCTTGAAATCTCAATCAGTGTGTTCAACATCGTTTGCCACTTTTAGCACTTTGCGAATGTTAAAACATTTCAATCCAAAACATCACATAGACAAGATTCCTCGTGCTATGGAGTTGTCTCTGTCTTCAACTTCGTTGTTGTTAGAATCTTAACCCCTCAAGAGATTTTTTTTTTTTTTTTTTGGTCTTTTTCCATTAAAACAAAACTTGACATGCAATTCCTTAACAATTACTACTACAATGTCCCATGGTAAAGAGGTCCTTAGATCTGGAAAAACAATGCACCAACGTGATTATAATCTCACAAAAGGCCGAATTTTCTGGCTCTAAATTCAAGGCTGGTAGAATCCTTCAAATAGAGAACATTACATAGCAATAGGGCATTGTGCATTCTCTTTCTCTATCCTCAAGGGACAGGTCAAACAAAAATGTCTTGTCTACACAAACAAGTTAAACAAGAAAAACAGCACATGAGCAACCATGAAGCACACCAAACGGTTGCACAATCTGTTTGCTCTGTGTGCTATAACAGAAGACCACAATTTGAAAGACACAGAAAGAGAGACTTCAAATATGCTGAGTTGTATGCAGCCACACAAGGCTTTTCCCCTAAGAACTTTCTGTCAGAAGGGGGGTTTGGTTCTGTCTACAAAGGGGAGTTGTGTGGACAGAAGATTGCTGTTAAGCAACACATCTGTGCAAACAGCAAAGAAGAGAAGGAATTCAAGTCTGAAGTTGATGCACTCAGCAAAGCAACGCATGATAATGTGGTCATGCTGTTAGGATCATGCTCCGAAGGGAACCATAGACTTCTTGTGTATGAATATGTCTGCAATGGTTCATTGGACCAACATTTATCTCGTAAGGCAAAAATAAAACTAAACTTGCATAGGATATACTACCAAGATTATGAATCTGTCATCTCCTGGTATTACATTGAATGGATACTAACTTTGGCTTCTACTATGCAGAACATTCTCGTAAACTTCTTAATTGGCAAGACAGGGTGAAAGTAGCTGATGGAGCTGCCAAAGGATTGCTATACCTGCACGAGAACAACATTATACACAGAGATATGACACCAAACAACATTCTTCTTACACATGACTATGATGTATTGGTAATGATATGGACAATTAATACTTCAGGGTATATAAGATTGATAAAAATATGAATATTACATTATAACTAATTTATTTTTATTAACCTGCATTTGTAGAATTGCAGTATCTACTCTCTACCATGTAGGCTTTCATTTATCATGGATCATTAGAAACACTAGACTTCTATATGCATGATAATGATGGATGATCATTTAACAAGCTCTTGTAACTTATTGTAATTGGTTCCACGGCCACAAGATTCTTCACCTCATCAAGTTAAAACAACAAATTATTTTTATGTTTTATCAGCTAGGTGATTTTGGTTTGGCTAGAACTGTTATAGAAGACTCCTCATACTCCACAGACTGTGTTGGGAATCTGGCTTATATGGCACCAGAATATGCAGAATTTGGCAAAGTGTCAATCAAGACAGATGTGTATTCCTTTGGGGTGGTTCTACTACAGCTAATAACTGGAATGAGAACCACAGACAAACGAGTAGGAGATAAAGGTCTAGTGGGATGGGTAAGAATCATGGTAGTGAATAGTGTAAAGCTTGATGCATGTAACGGAGTGTCATTTCTTCTTCCATTTTGGCATCACTTGTTTTTCTGCTAAAATCTGCTGCATTGTTAGAGGATATTAAACCAACTACATTACGTTAGTTTGATTAGTTATAGTTGAACTTTGTTTGAAATGTTTATTAGATGATAATTACCCCTCTAATTAGCCAATAGAGCTCATATTCACCGTCATTTGTATTTAGTGTATCAGTTAGTTGAAATTCGTTAGGAATATTTGTAGTTGTTAATTACCTCTCCAATGAGCTCTATTTAAGCTCATACACATACTCACTCTCATTTGAATCTTTTATAACTATGACTTACTTGTATCTCTTCCCAAAATTATAACTTAGGGTTACTCATCTCGAATTTTGAATAATATGACATTAGAGTTTGAATTTAATTGTGAGTTAAAGTATTATATTATGCAGAAATAAACAAATATAAATGAGAAAGACTTCTAAGTTTTTGAATTGAACATAAGATATGTTTTAACTTTTATGGGGTTGGTTTGTGATTATATTTATAATTTTACTTCAACTAGCTTTGTCATTTATTACATGCTTTTGAGGAAAATATAGTTGTAAAAGTAGTGATTATGAGAAGATGAAATATTAAATTCTTGATAAAACCATAACAATGCACATTCCAAGGAATTTAGCTGGTCATTTTGTTCAGGCTAGACCACTATTAAAGGAAGGAAAATGCCAAGCACTTATTGATGGAAGGATGATCAACTCCCATGACTGCCATCAACTCTATTGGATGAGCCATCTAGCTGGAAATTGCCTGAAGAGGGATCCTCAAAAGCGATTCCATATGAGTACAGTAAGTCTACTACGTCCACAATGCCATCAAAAGTTGTCATATTCTGATACTTACAGCTTAGATTCCCACTTCATGTCATCTTTATAGGAAACTCAGAATAGGGTTTATGTTAGGAGTTTATTTGACATTCAACTGCATGCAGTAGAAAAGAGAGACGTAAAGTGTGAAGATATGGCTAGATTATTTTCAATCATATTGTTAATATGATTTTTATACTATTACATTAATTTCCTTCATTGAATCATACACATTTTTTTAATGAAGTGAAGACTGAACATTGATTTTGTATCTTATGATAAAGGTGGTGAAGGCCTTAAATCAGATAGGCAAAGGATGTAGCTGCCTTGTGAGAAAAGAGCACACGCTTCTCATCTCAGGCCATTCTAAGTCCAAAGATGATACACAGGACTCCTCACAATCAGAAGAGTGGAAGTGAAAGCATATTTATTGTAGATCCAACCATGCAAAATAACAAGAAAAAACAAAATAAAATATACCTCAAGAACTGTTTCTATTTTAATCTTTAGATACTAATTAATGTGATTGTGTTTTCAATTTCAACCATTGTGTTACTCTTTTTTGAATTATTTGTTGAATCTCAGCTTCTGTAGAAGTTTGAATTGATTCTTATTAGAATGAACCACAGGCTCTTAAAACATCAAGAGTTATATCCACAGGTCATAAATTTAAAATATTATAAATAAATAAAAAACTGAAAAATAAATCATACATGATAAAGTGATTGAAAAAAATATATATGTTTGTATAGGTGGGCTTTTTACTTAAGCCATCATTTAATTAATATTTATTTACCTAAATATGTGGAATTTTTTTTTCCATGGTCAATAATAGGTGTAACATTTTACCAAGTGAATTTGTGTGATCAAAATATGTTCCACTTTACTTAGATAATATTATTCTATTACTTTGACCGAAATATCTATTAAATAATAAGGTTAATTTTTGGTTTATCTCAATCTATAATTGCACCATTGAGTGTGTTTGAGATAAGTACATAAATTAAAATTGTAATAAATCAATTATATTTATAACACATTATTTTTATAATCGATTTTGATAAAAATAAACCTTTATGTAAGTAATTTTATTACAAAGTGGTTTTTAACTGTTTTTTCTAAAATAAATAAAAAATCAGTTTTCATATGAGAAATGAAAAAACTAACAGGAAATAATTACAGTTTTGAATATTTATTAAAAAAAATTTCCAAACATCGCGCCCAATTATACAGAAAAATTTGTATTATATATGTAATTTCGTAAAATAAATAAGTTAAAATACAGTAAAAGTTAAAACAATAATAGTAAAAATGTTATATTTATATTATTTTTATTTTATTCAGCTACCCAAATTTTGATGTAATTTGGTGAGAAAGTTTGATTTTTTATTATTAATTAATTTTCTCTTATTATCTTAAGCATAATTAATTAAAATTAAAAAAAATTACTACATTTTATTAAAAAAAATTAATATTTTTTCCTTATTAATATGTATTATTTTCTCTTGTTGTCAACAGGGGACAGAGCTGAATTGGGTTGGAAAACACAACGCCACGTCAATGAAACGACAATGCGTTTAAGTGTTGGAAACGCAGAAGATTTAGAAGACGCGACTCTGATACTTCTTCTACTTCTCTCGTTTCACTGTAAGGGCTCACTGAGTTTCCGATTTACTTCCAAATTATGCGTTTCGTTCATTGGTTTCTCACCACATTAAACGACGTTGCAGATAATCGCAGTTGCTCCACCATTTCCTTTTGTTGATCTGCGGAATTGCACACACGGTACCACTTAAATTTCGTTAGATTTCGGGTTTAGGGCTTGTGAGGGGGGTAACGGTAGGATTTGGTAAATTTGGTGAAAAGGGGTTTTGACCGTGATCTTGGACTCTCAACTGGACATTGACTCATTTTGATTTGGTTTTTGGGGTGAAGATCTGTGAAGTCAGGAGCTTTGTTTTTGTGTTAATGGTATTAATTTAGGGATTCTAATGGTTGATTTGTGCTTCACAGGTCTTGTTGTGTGCACTGAGGTAGAAAGAAGAATACTGAATTGTGAGCAGGATGGTGAGTTTTGTTTTCTTTGGGTTCATGTTTTGATTATGCTCCTGTTGTTGTTGTTGTTCTAACCTGGTTCACTTGATCTGGTGATGGTGATGATTCTCTACGCTGTTTTTCTTAAATAAAAATAGAATTACCTTCTTGGAGCTTTCAAGCCTGCATGTAATGTCTTGATCTCGTTTAACGATGGGAACAACCGGAAGCAGGTAAGTAACCACCTTTATTCTTTTGTTTTATAATTTGTATTATGGGAAGCAGCGGTATACATCACATTGTGGCAATTGCATTATATAATAAGGGGAATTGTGTTCTTTCAATGTAGTGTCTTATATGCTAGTATTGCTTAATTTCCATTTTGTTGTTTTTTAGGTTCCCTTCAAAAAGGAAAATGGTCAAATGGTTACAGTCCCACTTTTCCAAAGTCAAGAAAACATAGCCGGGAAGGTATTTTATTTGTTGATGTTCATAATATTGAACCTTTGAGTTTAAGTGGAACGTGTTTTTCGATGACTTTTGATATATTGTCAACCTTACTGTGTTGAATATCATTTTATCTGCTGCCATGTTTAGATCACAATAGAACCAATGCAAGGGAAGAAGATTGATCACAATGGTGTAAAAGTTGAGCTCGTTGGACAGATAGGTTCGTGCGTGACTAACCTTTCTGACTCTTCAATGTGTTGTTTGTCTTCAAAGTCTCAATGGAAGAAAACAAAAAGGAAGAAGTAGAATAAGTTGTTGTTTAAAAATATTTTGTCAGTATTATAGTGTGTGATGGAACTGATTATGAGAGAAAAGTTCTGTGGTACTGTGTAGCATTTTTGCATGCTTGCGTAAAGGAATTTACCTTGTCAATTACCATTCAAAGTATATGATTCTCCATTTCCCCTAAAATAAAATTTTAATTATCTACTATTTTGGTCCTTTTGTATCACATGGATTGAATGTTCAATTACGTTTAGAACTCTTAGACATGCTACATTGTTACCTTTGCATTACATGTAAGATAGATGTGTGATTTTCTCTCTATGTAATTGATATTCATACCTTGAAGGAGTCTGAATCATTTAAAAAATCAACCTGGCATTGTGGATGCATGGTACTCAGAAATTTTTATTCATTATTTTCTCTATAATTGTTAGTTACGTTAATAATTCCAACTTGATTCTTTATCTTGTATCTAATTATTGTACATGATTGTCAGCTGGATTGTTCCTTTTCTGCTTAATCCTTTGACCTGGGATGAAGCATAAAATGATATACTGAGGGAAACATTACTGAATTATTTTACAGGAGACTCAGTCCTAAAGATGTACAGTAAAAAAAGATGGATTTTCTTAATTGAAGCTTTTCATTTCAGTTTTATCAAAATATTTTATGGAACATGTTTTCTTTGGATTTGTACCCACCCTGTTTTTCTATTGAGCATCTGCATCTGAAACTGTTATGATCATCCTGACATTGATAATCTTATTTTAAATTTGATCCCTTCTAGATTAATTTTACATTGATGCATGTAACTTTTAAATTTTTCTTGATTATGGCTGACAAAGAATAAATTATCCATTCATAATTATTGCTTTGGGAATAATTTTTGTTGTGACTGTTATCTTTTTTCTATTTATTACTAACAAGTTCATTTTGAATTTTGTTTCATTTTGCAGAGATGTATTTTGACAGAGGAAATTATTATGACTTCACTTCCCTTGGTAATTGACTGTTCTGCCACTTCCATTCTTGAATGAAAATATTCTACCTGGTTGTAGTTAACCTTTCATTAATAAAACTAATACAGTGACCCATGTGATACTTAGTTATGATGTTGTGAAATAATATATTTTCTTTTACTGTCTTTTGCAGTACGAGAACTAGATGTTCCCGGAGACATCTATGAGAAGAAAACATATGCATTTGAATTTTCTACTGTTGAAATGCCATATGAAACGTATAATGGGGTGAATGTGAGGCTTAGGTAAGATGCCTTGAAGATCCATGGACTTGTCTGTTGATGCATATGCTTTTAGTTTATAGTCTTTCTAGAATGTTTATTTTGCTAATAAGTGTATGGGGAGCATGAATCTGACACTTTGCTATGCTTTTATGCATTTGCAATTTGCAGGTATGTATTGAAAGTGACCATTAATCGTGGCTATGCTGGAAGCATAATAGAATACCAGGATTTCGTGGTATGTTCTCTTTCAGTAAATAGAATTTCTGATTCATGATCTGAGATATCAAATTTAATGTTGCTTTATCAAATCACTACATTCATGGACAGTATTGTGCTGGCTGTAGTTTTAAATCATATACTTCACATGAGGACAGTATTCTCCAAAAAAAATGTTGTATATTTGTATATACTTTTTTCATTAATTTCTATATTTTTACTTCATCTGTCAGGTTCGGAACTATTCTACACCTCCACAAATTAACAATAGCATCAAGGTGAGCACAATGATGTGGTAATTCGATTTTAATTCTTTCTAGCACGTATCCATTTTTACAAACTATGATATTCATGTTCACAAATTTCCATAATTCACAACAATAATGATTCAGGAGCAGATAAAGTGAATTACATCAATGTTAACCATTTTCTTTGAATTACCCGATGTTAAGTATATGCTGGTGTATGTAGTTATTGTGATAGCTCTGTTACCTGAGGGCCTTAGTTAGTTAATCAGTAAGGGGTCTGTTATTTAGTTAGTGGGTTACTTGGTGACTCAAGTGGCTGATGTTGTATATTAATAGGAAGAGGGGTTCAGAGGGGAGTAATTTATAGTGTGGGAAATTGTAAAGGAATTGGGAGATAGAGGGAGTTCAAAATCCAGGAGTGTTCATTTTATTGTCTGTGCCAGTATTGGGAATAATGGTTCTTAATAAAATTTATTTCTTCTGTGCTGTCCTCAACTGTGTTATTGGCTACTTCCATGCCTTACGTTACATTTCATAATAATATTCCTTGTACAGATGGAAGTTGGAATTGAAGATTGTCTACACATTGAATTTGAATACAACAAAAGCAAGTAAGCTGAATATTTAATTGGCCATTTGACTGGAAATATGTCCACTTTTACCAGGTTGTTTATCTTCATTATGTACCAACCTGTCTCCTATGGAGTTTCTGTTCATAGCTTGCAGTGTGAAATACATATACATTTTGTTATCTTGTTCTTGTAGACCTATGAATTTGTTTTTTCCATTTACATGATGCCTATGGATTATAAATATAAAAAACTAGACCACTAGCAATTATCTGCACCGAAGATATTTTTGGTCAAAAAGATCACTGCATCTAGCAGGCACAAATAAGATTCAGACTATAGTATAATATTTAAAATAGACATTTTAATCAAGATTGAATTTAAATTTTTAAAATTTTGTAACTTATTACAAACATAATGAAATACTAAAATTTGACGAATTTATAGGACACAACATGACTATAGTATAATATTTAAAATAGACATTTTAATCAAGATTGAATTTAAATTTTTAAAATTTTGTAACCTATTACAAACATAATGAAATACTAAAATTCATCTAATTATTTTAGTATTCCAATCTATGTTGGCATAAAAGTTTGAAAGTTATTGGAAAAATATATAAAAATGCAGCTAAGTGATTTTGAAATGTTTGTGAAGTGTTCGACATGGATACATGTTCAACACGGCTATGACATGATATGGCTACTATTTAGAAAAGTCTGTCCATCTTAGTACTGTATGGTGCATAGAGCTTTCTTGTGCATTTGTTTGAAGAGAAAATACTTTTCTCATCTAATTTGTACTTATTGGGGAGACCTGCAAATACTTATTCATATTTGCTACTTTTCAGGTATCATCTGAAAGATGTCATCATTGGTAAGATATACTTTTTACTTGTCAGAATCAAGATAAAAAACATGGATCTTGAGATTAGGCGTCGAGAATCCACTGGGTCAGGGACAAACACCCATGTTGAGACAGAAACATTGGCTAAATTTGAGTTGATGGATGGTGCTCCTGTTAGAGGTAGGCTAGCCTTGAATTGGATTACATTTTTTGTGCCTTTTATTTACTAATTAATCTAGATAACATAAAAGTAGTTTAGATCTATCATCTATGTTTTCATATACTTTTGGGGATAAACCAACTCGCCCCATTTTGTTTTGACTGACTTTTAAGATCAAATTTCTTTTTAAGCATAATATCTCATATTTACATGATTACATATATTTTCAAATCATTTTTAATTCACTCGTTTACCAAAAAGGTGATAATGTATTTTACTGGTTTTGTATGTATAGCATAACTTATGTTTGCTATTAGCAAAACAAATTAAGGCAATAATTTTCTGCCACAGATGTTAATTTTAATGACATAAAAACTTGTAAAAATATAAAGATAAATTACATTCCTCTTGATAGATTGGTAAACTACATTTTTTTTTCTTTTTTTGTCGAAAACAATTTATTATTATTTAATTTTGATATTTGAAATAGATATGAATGTTTTTGGTGAAGTTTCAAAAGCTATGGCAGGGATGTTTAATACTTTTGTTCTATATTCTGAAGCTCTGAAATTAATAATAAAGCTTTTAAATAATATGTCTTTTGGAGACTTATTCATAGTTTTTCATTACTGTTAAGATTAGTTTATGTCAGAATGGGCTAAATTTGTAACTCATTTCATTTCTGTATGGAGGATAGTGTAACTTAAGTTTGTCTCAAAGAAGGAGAGTGTATCAAAATATAAAATTTGTCAAACTTTACATGAGCTGGTCTCAAGCCTAGATAAAAGAAGGTTGTCGTCTAAAGTAATAGACGACTACAATTTTGTCAAATCTTGTATGCCAAATAGTATTAGTATTACTTTAAAGCACTAAAATAATATATTTATAAAATTGTGTTAATGTTTCCGTACTTTATCACATAGACAATGATTAAAGACCTTAAAATGAATATGAGAAAACAGGATAGCAATAAGAAAACAATAAAAAGAATACATGATGAAAAATGGAAACATATGTTGATATCAACTATATGAAATACATTTCACCTTTATGATGTGTGGTTGTGTGTACAGGTGAATCAATTCCGATCAGACTGTTCCTCAGTCCTTATGAGCTAACACCAACTCATCGCAACATTAATAACAAATTCAGTGTGAAGTACTTTTTAAATCTTGTGTTGGTTGATGAAGAGGACAGACGATATTTCAAGCAGCAGGAAATCACAATGTATAGGCTGCAAGACGAAACTTAGTGATTACTTATCATACAGGGAATGAGTATTAGGTATGTGTCAAATAAGAAAGATTGTGATGACATTGAGAGCACTTACATATGGAAGTAGTCACGCGAATTCTGTTTCTAAAGTGGTAAAATGGCTTGGTATTCTGGCATGCTTGAAATTCATCACTTTCAAACATGTATATTGGCCTATCTCTCATTCCTGTTTTGACAGTTCTGTAATTTGTAAACATGCTTTTGAAGAAAGCATCTTTAGAAATTTATTGGAACATTGATACCCATGAGAAAGTGGGTGATTTGTATACGGGTGATATCTGTAGTACTTTTGGTTTTTACTATCAACTTTTGCTTTGTTTACTTCATGAACATAGTGATATGCATTTCAATTTTTTTGAAGGGACGGAATCTGATGCAAGACTTTGGTTTGTGTGTCTATTCATTGCCATCTTCTCCTGTGTTACATTTATTTAGTAACCATACTCTGTGGGCCCATTTGTTTGTTTTCAGTAAATTATAACAATCAATGATGAAGTTTCGTGAAATTACATTAATCTCGTATTTTTTTACATTTACAAAACCTGTCCTATAAGAGTATGCTGTAATATTTTCAAATAATTAAAGTTATTGAAATGTAAAAAGAGTGTTTCATAATGTTTTCAAATATTTAAGGGAAAAAATAGAAAAAAATTATATAATTTCATGAAAACAATTATTAAGGCTAAAATTAGGGGTAACCCCCCTCCTTTCCCCTTTCGGAAATGGACAGTGAACCAAAAATATATGAGATGTGAACAAAGACAATAATTAAGAAGTGGAAAACTTGTCCAATGATTAGAGTTATACTTTAGTTATGAATATTTCAAAAATATATTCTTTAACCTAATAAAAAATATAATTTTTATTTGGCTTAGTTTAAAGTATTTCAACTTAGACATTGTTTATATAGGGATCTTTCAAGATTTAATGACCTGAGATAGACAGAAAAGAAACATTTATTTTAGTTATTTAGTTAAATCAATTATTTATCACTTGAGCATTTAATAATAACTATCTCATGGGAAAAAAACAATGATCCAATGTATGGTGAATTTCAATAAATTATTTTCAACTTGACATAAGTTAAAGGAACTTCAAATTAATCTTGTTGAAAACATTTTTATTAATGAGTCAACCTATTTATTACTAACCTGATTCAAACATGATTAACTTGATCCATAATTAAAATTTGTAAATTTTGTTTAGTCAATCTAACTTGAACATGTGATGAGCAAGTTGTTACAAGTTCTTAGGCATTAAAATTCATATTCACACCCTTAATAATTGTAATAATAAAAATATTTATTATCAATTATGAAAAAAAATATAATTTAAGTTTAATTATTTATTTATTATATTTATAAATTTAATTTAAAAATTAATTCATTAAAATTTGGTTAATCAATATGTATAAAAATTATTTTGTAAAATCTTAAAAATATCTCTCTCTATATATATTTTTTTAAAAGTATAGATTTAAACATCTACCGTTGAAATATAGGTCAATAAAGATACTATAAATTGTTTGAGTTTCTTGGTCACACAGGCAGGGAGGGAAGTTTCTCCTTTTGCTGTTACAGCATTAAATCCGTAAGAACCCACCAAATTGGGAAGGTCATTAGGACACTTACAATTGTGGAATAGTATTACCCAATCAGTGCATCATCATGCAATGAAAAGAAAGCTCCCAAGATCAAGACTCTAACACCAAACTAGCCTCCCTTTTAAAAGGTGGAGGAAATTGAAGAAATAAATAAAGACAGACTAAAATCTCATAATATCATAAAGATAAAAAAGACAGACTTAAAAGATGAATAACTACCATTATATTAATTAAATATTTAATGATATGTGAAAATAAATAAATATTTCATGATGGAGTTTAGACCTTAAACAATCTTTTGTTCAAGTAATGAGCCCTTGCCTTGATAGCTACTTAGGGATCATTACAAATATAAGCCTTCATGAATCCCCTCTTCCAAGAAAATATGATCTTATTATTATTTATTAGTATATTTATTTATATATCCCATATAACATGAAGTTTAATATTATCGAGTTATAATTAATAGTTTTAACTATTTTTTTAATATATTATTTTTTAATTATTTAAATTTTAATTTTAAATAATTTTTCTATTCTTATAACATTTTTTAATAATATTCTTAAGAATTTTTATTATATTTTAAAATAATCATCTTAAATAAGAGGATCCGATATATCCTATTCAAGAATTAAAAAAATATATAAGATTATGTTGACCTTTTATTTATATATATATATATATATATATATATAATTGAATATGAATGAAATGTAAAATAATAAATAAATTTTAAAATAATTTTTTAAACTGAGTTTGAATATGATTAAAAGTTTAATTATGTTTCTTAATATAATTTAAGAAGTTTGATCGAAAACCCATTCCTAATTCTCAAAGTCAATCTTTTTTTTCTATACAACTCCCAAAGTCTATATAGGGATATATTTTCCCGATTTCTTTTTACTTACCTTGTTCCATTGATCAAAGACTACATGCTCACAAGACACGGGACTACAAATATTGACAAATTTTAAATTATATAATGTTCCATTGTATCCATGTCTATCATATTACTCCTTTGAACGTACTAAAGGAACATTCAAATACATTATTTTATTCCAACTCTAGCCTGTTTTAGCCATTATGACCCAATAGCTCACATCAAAATATTATATTTTATTTTTAAAAACAGTTCTTATAAGCAATTGTCACAGAACATGTTATAAGAACTAAACCGTCACGCACGGCATTAATTTATTCAAAGATCATGTTTTATAAGCCTCAAATATATGTTACCACTAAAACAATATGATGAAACTAGTTAATATCCTTAACCTTAAATTATGTTGTTATATAATTAGAGGGGCAAAATATACAAAAGCTATAAAAGATATTATAACAAAGGGACAAAATGGAACTAGCTGAAGCAAGATAATGTATAGAAGAAGTTGGTTATGGATAGAAGACTATCGATGGATTGAATCTGGATCTATCTCTCTATGTTTATTTCGTTAAATTTCATGCATTACACAAAATTTCACGCACTTCTAAAAGAAAATGCAAGACAATTGTCATCCCATTGAGCTACATGTCCAAAGTTTCAAATTGTTCTACAAATTATTCAAAAACCAGGAAAGGCAATTTGTCTTGAAGTTTTTGAAGAAAATACACAATAGATGTGACAAAATAAAGAGTGTACAAAACTATGAGAAAGAAACAAGTGTTTACCTGGGCATTTGATAACACAAGTCACACCCATATTAGACTCTAGACTCTTAGAAAAGGAGGTGTTGCACCTATTACCCGTATTAAAGAGTAAACATAAGTGGATAACAGAAATTTTTGAATCATAAGTTGAACAGTTTTCTAATGAACATCAGAGCATGCAAAAAGAGTCAAGTTAATCCACCCGCAAGAAACCACCTCCTGCACTTGAAGAATGAGTTCCATTCGCCACCACAGGCTTACTGTGTATTGAAATCATCACTAACATCAATCATGTCAGCTTGGTTCATGCCATCATGCACAGGATACATCTCATTCCAATCTGAGGCCAGGGTTACATCTGGCCAAGTGAGATTCAGCATAGACATATGTTGATTTTCACTCTTAGGGGCTAAAACCTGGTCAACTGACTGCAATTTCTCATTGTTGCCTGTAGAATTTTTGGATGAAATCTCAGAATCACGATGGACTTGTTGCAATTGACAAACTTAAACCATGAAACTAAGGAGAAAATCCACCAATTTTATTTTCATCAAAATTCATAATGAATTTTACTGTGAGAAAAAAACTCTTCATAAGTCAATCCTTGTTGGATCCAGAATGTGCATCACACTATTAAGATTTGTTAAGTAAAATGATTAATTTTAAAAATAATTAAGTTTGGCAGTGTCAAAGATATATATGGATGTGTGCAGAAAATAGTGAATGCTTTCCAAATATCATCCTCATCATACAACACTAGAAGATACTAACCACTAAATGTATGAAAAGGTTCCCATCCATCCCACGACTTTCCATTGGTGCTAACAACAGGATGTTCATTCAGGATTGATGTTGCACCAAAGGGAGATACAGGGTCAGCATAATCCTCCCACTCTGTCTCATACATGTTCAAAGCCGAACTCTCAGCTCTGTCACCAGGAGTTGCAATAGATGAACTCGAACTCTTGTCAGACCAATTATTCTTTGAACAACTAAGAGTCTTGGCCTGCTGATAAAGATATTCATCAAGTAAATAATGATTGAGTGAAGAAGACCCTGAGTCTAGTGCATAAGGTGGTTGAGGAGAATGAATGAAAACATCAAAAGACTCATTCAATGGAGCTGGGGGAGAGGTACCCCAACAACCAAATTCAGTATCTGCTGGATATTGGAGTGAAGGGAGCTCTGACCTCACAGCCTCAGAAACCAGCTTAGAAGTAGAGTAATTGTCATTTGACCTCACAGCCTCAGAAGTCAGCTTAGAAGTAGAGTAATTGTCATTAGATAGTGAATGGCCGTAACAAATTGAGCCATAAGAGGAGGCACCATGATCAAAGGGAGAATGGAATCCAAATGATTCTGCAATTTTATCAGAAGTATTATCCTTAAATTGGTCAAATGGATAAAACCCATTACTGTTCAATTCAGTGGAATTGATAAAAGACATGGTTGACTCTTGAAGATGATCATGGTGAGGTAATGTGGATGGCAGGAAATTACATAATGGAGCAGAACCAAGAACATTTGGCAGAATGCTGTTGGCAGAAATATCAGGTAGCTCTGGCACAAAAGGTAAGCTTTCATGATTTTCCTTCAGACGGTCAAATATTGCATCATGTATCTCATAATTGTTTTCCTCCAGAAAATCATGTTGACCTCCATCTCCATCTCTAATTTCACTTTGCCCATGTTTACTATCTTGAAATGCTTGCACAACTACTTCAGGAGGATAAAGTGGCAAGCCAGCTCGTTGACACCTCTTCATCCGGGTGTTCCAGTAGTTTTTTATTTCATTATCTGTACGACCAGGCAACTTAAAAACAAAAGAAAATCATTTTAAATTATGGATAGAAAAAATGAATATATCATAACAGAAAAAAAAAATATTTTTATAGCAACTACTAGTTTCTTATTCCATTTGTAAGACATAGCTCCAGTATCTAATTCTGACAAAATATGTTTTATTTTCAGTTATCAATCTCCTCTTTTTACTCATTTCACACACTCATTTCAGTCTTACAAAAAGTTTTTAATTCCTCCTATGTTCTGGTTTAGTTAAATTAAACTTTTTCTTTGAGTGGGTGGTGTGGGACAAAAATACCAGTATTGGAATCTACCTCTTCCACTCTCTGACGTGATCTTCAGACTCACTGATTACATATCCTTACATAAGACTCACTGGTCACATATCCTTTTTAAAAAAGACAAGCACAAAAGTGATGCAGGTTAAAAAGAAACTGATTTGCAAGGAAAAGAGATCCACAAGTTCTTTCACAATAAATACAATCTCAAGAAAAATCTTAATGTATTTTAAAATTGATATAATTGTCATTTACCCAGTTTGGCATGTTATCTTAATCAGCAGTAAAGGTCCATAAAAGAGCATATTTTGTCATTTTTTTATCAAGCAGTAAACTAGAATGTGACAGTGTGTAAAATTTTGATTAAGCTAATTTAAAATTATGTAAGTCTATCTTCAAATCTAAGATAGAACTAACAGGAAAAGAAAAAAAATCAAAAAGAAGCTCAGAGACAAGTCTCATCAAGGACAATGTACCATAATACTGATTACTTTCCCTAAATAGACAGTTACACAGTAACAAGTTGTGAAAGATTTGCCACACTTAAATGTTTTGCCGAATGCTTCACGTTAAATTCAGAATCTTATTAAATGACAACTAAATATTAGACTGTGTATTAATTGTTGAATGATTCTGAGATAAAAGAAAGGAGGGCGTACACAGCACTAACATCAAATACGTTAGGCATCAACAAATTGAACAGCAAATTGAACACGATAACTAAATATGTTAGGCATCATCAACAAACATGCTTACATGTGCCGCCATGCGTGCCCATTTGTTTCCCATTTTGGCATGGAGTTCAGCAATCATCTTCTCCTCTTCTGCAGTAAATGCACATTTCTTTAAGTTTGGCCTTAGGTGATTGGCCCATCGCAATCGGCAACTTTTTCCACAACGAGACAGGCCTGAGTACTTCTGAACAGCATTCCAATTCCCCTCTCCATGCTTATTGACATAGTCCACCAAAATAACATCTTCAGCAGCTGTCCATGGCCCTTTCTTTAGAACCACGCCTCCTCCATTACCCTCATCATTGAACTGTGACCCAGTCTGATCCTCACCATGCACATTGTCATCAACCTCATGCACATTGTCATCAACCTCATGTTGATTCATCTCTTAAATAATAATCTCTGCAATGTGTTTTTGTGTCATATAATAAAGTACTGAAAAATGCAAAACGAAACTTGGAAAAAAGCCAAAAAAGAAAGAACACATCCAAAATAATTTGCGGCGCTGGCCACTGAATTTCCTTTCATTCTCTCCCCGCCGTTGGATCTTCCTTTTGGGCGGGATCCAGGTTGTATTACACATCAATACACAAGTAGAATGATATTCAATGATCGAGACAATAAAAAAGAAAGCCTGAAAATAACTGCCTCAAAAGCAATAATTAACAATAGAAGTTTCTAACTAATCACAAAACTAAGTAAATCAAGTACGATTGATACAGTTTCAATCGTATTCACCATTCTTACCCAATCAGAAAGTAAATACAAAGAGGAACATAATCCTTTTGCTTGGAGATGACTAAGCAAAAATTTCAACCTACAGACTAGGTCCACTCACAGAATTCATTTTCCCCACCCGCTGGATGCTGGTTACAGCAATATATCATGCGATTATTACAAAATCAATAACAAGATCAAAAGAATAAATTGCCCGTTCCACACTAGAACAAAATTAAATGCGACTTCACATATAACACGTCCAAATTTCTTCCAGAGAATAGGAACTTATTAATAAAGAACAATAATGATAATAATAATAAATAATAGTAATCTTATTAATAATAATAATAATACCCGAACAGAACGTGTGAGTATTCAAGCTAAAATCTAAAACCCAAAGATTTTAGTTCAAATTCCCAATAAAAATGAATCTTATTGTTGATGGCGGAGAAGCTTAACCTCATTTACAAACTGAAGGAAAACCTCGTCCTTGAAATTCATAAATGAAAAGTAAAGTAAGGAAACTTAAATCAATAAATAATAATTAGACTCAATAAAGTGAATTCCATGCAACATTTACACACAGTATGATGATAAATTGGTCACAGAATTGAAAAAAAATATATATTATACAATATAATAAAATGAAATTGAGAATTCAGATTGATCGAGAGAAATAGGAATGGGAATGGGAGCATAACCGTGGTTGGAAGAGGATTGGGGCGATAAGAGAGAAGAATATGAGATCAAAGCCTTAAGCATTCGCACTCTCATGCATAACGAGAGAGAAAGGGTTAAAGAGAACCAAACGAAGAGAGTGAGAGAAAAGAGAAAACGAAGTGAGGAGAGAAATATATGGTGTTATGGGTGCCATTAGCTTTCAATTTCTGCGTGTCAGAAGCTTTTTTTATAATCAATAACAAAAATATAGCAATTACCACTTAATAAATAGATCAAATATATCGGAGATTAATAAATAGATATTATTATACACACTATAATTTAAATAAAATATTTATATATATTTTTTTAAAATTAGATTTGATCTATGTACTATATATAAGGTAACAAAATTACATGTATTTCGTAATAGTTTATAATGGTCTTTTTCAAATACTTTAATCTTATGATTTAACAAATAAATGGAATATATTGAAAGTTAATAAACAAAATAGTCTTTTTATGCTTCTTTGATTTAGTTTATTTTTTAATTTTTGAAAAGAGTTTAAAAAATCAAATTTAAATTGAATTTTCAAAATAAAATAAAAAATTATTTGATAATTCTAATTTAAAAGTTATTTTAGAAAAAAATTACATCAACGAGGATAAAAAAAACAAAAAATTAACCGAAGTTGAAAAACTATAACCCATGGATGATGATAAAGACAGACTACGTATTGAAACTAGTAGGAAATATTATCAATAAAAATATATTTTATTAATTTTTTATTTTTTAAATTAAAAAATCTTAAAAATAAATTTTAAAAACTAATAACCAAACGAGTTTTTAATTTTTAAAACTAAAAACCCGAAAACCGTTTTTAAAATCTTAGATTTTTCAATATTTTATTATAAAGGTTGCCTTTACATAAATGTTTTTAATGAGATTATTTTATTTTTTATTAAATAAAAATAATTTATAATTGAATAAAAATATAAATTAATATAAACTTTATGTCTTCACAAGTCGCCTCTGCACTGTAACCTAATTTAATTAATTATTTTTTTTAAATAATAATATATACTTTATTTGAAAAATATATAAAAGTAAAATAATACAAATATATAGTTTTAACTTATATAATTTTAAAGTAAAATATATTTTATATAATGATTATGATAAATATTTATATTTAATATAGTTGAAACCTTTTTTTAATTCTCATATATTATTACGTAAATAAGTGTTGAAGTGTGTGAATTAAAGTGTTAAGAAAAAAAAATATCCATTATTAGATGATTAGAGGAACACTTGAGAATATAAGGATGGATGCGATTCCGAAAGAAGGGGAAAGAAACCATGAAAGTGGGAGAGAGAACGGAAGAAGGGTACGAGAAGAGAGGGTGAGTGCGAAAGAACTTATTATTTTTTAATTTATAAAAAAATTTAGGTTAATTTAATTTTTTATATGAAAACTTTTATGTTCATTTATTTATCTTTTAATGATTAAAATTTTAATTAACATAAAAATCCAATTATTATAATAGTCAATATTTGAACCCACTTATAAAATCAATTCCTAAATTATTAAAATTTAAATTAACATAAAAAAATATTTATTATATCACTCAAATTTTAACTCTCTCGTATTTTATGTTATGATAATTTTACCATACTACTTACCGTGATACATGGATCATCATGGTATATGAATTACGATGGATCATCATGATATATATATATATATATATATATATATATATATATATATATATATGAATTACGATGGTTATCGTTTTTATACTCTCATGTTATTTATTTATTTTATTATTCACGTATTTTTGTCTTTTTCTTCCGTTACCTTTTTATTCTATCCGCTTTAATATTTTTTTTTCACATTCAATTTTTTTTTTTAACTTGGAAAACTTCTTCTTTTACGTTTACGTTTACATTTCTACTTCTTCTTTTTTTCTATTATTTTTCATAATTTTCTCATTCACGGGTTTACCTACAATATAAAAATTATAATTTTCATTTTTCACATTTTTCTCTATGGTTTCACCTATAGAATAAAAATTGTAATATTTTTCTTTAATTTGTTTTATTATGTTCAATATGGTGGAGATGGAGTAGATTAATGTCAAAATGTAAAAAAAAAAATAGGTTAAATTTTTAAAATGTTTTGAAAAAATTATAAATTCATTTTAAAAAAAGAAGAAGTAATATGAGATAAAGTAAATTTTATTTGATCTCATATATATTTATTTTATGCTTATCTTAAATATATACGAATGATTTATATTTTTTAATAATTTTATATAATATATTTAATTTTTATACAATAATTAATTTTAATATATATATATATATATATATATATATATATATATATATATATTAACTAATATGTACCCGTTTAAAATTTATGCATCCATAGTTATATACAATCCTCATAATAAGTTACCATTAAATATTTTTAAAAATTTTAGAAGAAAAATATTAGAAAAATAGGTTGACCATTATTTTTTAAATAATATATTATTAATAAATAATAAATAAATATAAAAAATGAAATAATATAAAAGGATAAGAGGTGTATTAATATACAAGCAATTATATTTAATAATCATTAAATTTAAAAAATTAAAATCATAAAAATTAATACAAATTAGTAACTGTAACCTTAAGTATAATCTAATTTATACACTTCGTTGTGAATAAAAATATAAAGAAGGATAATGGAACTAGCTTACTTACTTTCTTGGTTAATAAATAATCAAAGTCATATTCATTTAACTGTGACAAAAATAGTGTTAAAATACATTCATGACATTTTGACTTATGATATAAAATATAATAATAAATATTAAATTTAGTTTAGTTTGTTATATTGAGGAGGGTGAGAGTATTGTAGGGAGATATGTTAAAATAAGTGTAATCCATCGGATCCAAAAATCCAAAAATTAAATCAAATTAAGTTAATAAAATTGTGGTCTAAATAAAATTAGATTTATTTTGAATTAACCTAACCCTAAATTAGTTAAAGAAACATAAATTATAAATCCACTTAATTTATAAACTAATAATTAATTTTTAAATAAAAATAAATATATTTTATTTTATTAAAAATTATATATGTATTATAAATTAATTTAATAAATGATCCACTCTTATCAATATATATAAGAGTAATTTGTAACATTCATTCTAAAATCTAATTATTAAAATAATTATTATTTTAGATAATTAAACTATTAAAAAAATATTATAATAAAAGTTAACTTTTAATTATTATTTAAAAAATAATGGATTCTTTCATTATTAATTTATGCTAAATTATTATATATATAAATACATCATCACCTAGAATACTGCCAACAAGTGGCATGGACCCCAACATATCAAGATTACATTTTTAATTAACCTTAAAAACTATGTTGTAAAAGCTGTTGTTCGAGCACAGTCAGCAAAAATTCAGACGTTGTTCATGTGTGTACCAACATTCTAATCAAGCTATGAAAGTGTTTATTATTTCAAATTTTAATTTTTTTTATTAATTATAATTATATATATATATATATATATATATATATATATATATATATATATATATATGCTTCTTTTTATCCTTTCTTATTATTACCTACCAATCTTTTTTTTTTTTCAATTTGTAGAGAGATATTATTGGAGTTTCCAAAGTTCAAAGAGAATATAAAGCCTCAACATATTGCAATTTTCAGGTGTATTTAAATATGCTTTTGAAAATTTATTTTTAGAATTCCTATTAGTGTGCCACATTTCTTTCTTTCTGAATATAGAGTTTCTCAATATTTTCTATTGTCTATTTTGGAGGCGTTTGAAAACTCAAATATCCTTCTTCTTCTTTTTTTCATAATTGCAAACTCTTATATTTATTTTATCTGACACGACAACTACATTTGATTTTTTGAATAAATTTTATTTTTAATTAGTTATCTTTTGACACAATTCATTGTTAATTTCTCTACATTTTGTTGAATAGGTTTAGCTCCTTAACATTTTTCTTAGTATAATTAATGAAGAAATATGAAATATGTCTATATTTTTTTTATGACTTTATATGTGGATATTTGTGTGTTTGATTTTTTTTAAGGGAGGGATTGAATGGTAGATGTTAATAAATTGAGTGAAAAATAGAATACATGTCTTCAAAAAATTCAAAACTATTTAATTATCTTAATCTGAAATTAAATTATGTGTTTATTTTTTATGCAATATATATAATTTATAATAACTTTATCTAAGAAAAACTCCTAATATCTTTTTTTTAGATCATAAAATATTATAACTAAAAAATAAAAAGTAAAATTAAAGGAATTCGGAAAACACAACCTTAGGAAAGATAAGTGTCTGTTCTTAATTTTGAACTATTCATTGTAGCTTATCGTGACTTTGATTATTATAAGATATTTATTATGAAAATCAGCTTTAAAATATTTATTTTATCTTTAAATCATTAATTTTTTTGTCAAAAATTATTTATTTAGTATTTAAAAATATTTGTTTTGGTCTATTTGACAAGATACTCACATATATTAATAGGTATTTCTATTCACAGTAATTCTTTATGTAAGAAGGGTTTGTATATATTGAAATTTTTCAGTTTATTTTTGAGTATTTAAGAGAATATTTTATATTATTCTTTGCACAAAGTACATATTAAAAACATTAGATTATATTTGATACCTTACAAATTTCACATTAAATCCAGATACTATAAACTATATAACATTATTGATTAATGCGTAAATTTTAGTTAATAGTATTTAATTAAAATTAAATTTATAAAACTAACCACACCATTATATTAAAATGTCGATGTAAATTAATTTGAATATAAATTTTAAAATATGTTATTATTTATTTGTTATGAAATCGAAGTTTAAAAATGTATATTAATATTTATAAAAGTTGCTATGCTTTGAGTAAAGACCAAATATACATGATACCTATGATAAAAAAATATAACTAAAAATTGGTTTACTAATTGAAACTAGTGCAACTATAAATCCATATTAAAAACTGGTAAAAAATTAAAATTGATTTTTTTAATTATTTAATTATTAATTTTTATTATTATATTTTTGCTAACTCAAAATTCTATTATCTGTTGTTTTTATTATTATATAATATTGATAAATGCTAAAGAAAACAGTGAGACACTTACATGCAAAGTACTTTTATATTATCTATTATAAAATTAAAGCAATTGAGGGTAATAAAGGTGAAGAAAAAAACTGTCATGATTCTCACAATGACCAGAGTCCCAGGAGTTGAAGCATCCAGTCCACTGCCGTCGCCGCTCATTCCATGACCAGCAACTGCATCACGCGTCGTGGCCCATTCGGAGGTGGTGGCGGGGATAGCTTCTTCTTCGATCATTTCTTCTGCACTTTCCCACAGGATTTGCCTCTCCATGCATCAACATTAGGAAATTGCTGGTTGTTATTGCTTTCTTCAAGCTGTGAAGAGTCCTCGCTGTGTTTCCTCGTTCTCACCCACCAAAGGTGATGCTGTTAGTTGTGTTAATATGTTTCAGTCTTTAAATCTGTTGCTTATTATACCTGTGTAAATATATCTCTTTTATATGTTTGAATATGTTGGATATCTCTTTCTTCTTTATATTGTTTTATGGTATCAAATGTTTTTCCCTACATCCTGGGTTTGTTATTTTTTAATGGTGAATACTTTCCTACTCCTTCCACCCTCTAATGGCTTTGTCGATCTTTTCATTAGGATAATTATAATTCTTGGAATCGACCTATAAAGATGACTCTTCTACTCAATAACAAGTCTCTTACTAAGTTTAAAATGTAAAAATACATATACAAAGAGATAAAATTAAATAATACCTGTCTCATTATTATCTAGTATATAAATAAACAAGTGTTAAAATAGAATAAAGGTAAAAATAAAGTAATTAACAAATTAATTTTAACTTTAAGTATGATCCTTCTCGTCAAGTTAAAGTTGTGTTTATATAGACAATTTTAATTAACTCTATTAAATTTCTAAACTTTTCAATCTTTAATGTTTTTTTAAGTATATCAACGAGTTGTACTTCAGATATGTATTACTCTATGTCTAACTTGTTATTGTTGACTTGCTCTCTTAATAAATTAAATCTTATCTCTATGTGAATACTCCTTTTATGAGAAGTTGAATGTCTTACTAGGTCTATTTTTGATTTGTGGTCCACAAGTAGCTTTATCTTGCACAATTGTTTCACCTTTAATTCTTGCATCAATAATCCTAACCATGCTACTCGCAAGTTGTTTTGAAAGCCGTGATGTATTCAGTTTCACATGATGATAAAGCCTCTACTGGTTATTTTGTAGAACTCCATGAGTTAGGTGCTCCTCCACAAAAGAAAATATATCTTGTAGTGCCTTTATTGCAACTTTTATCTTCGCACCAATTTGAATCTGAATATCTAATTACTTCTAATCTAGCATCCAGACATTTCTTTTGGAAATAGAATCCCGAAACCAATGTGCCTTGTAGATACTTTAGTATCCTTTTTGCAGCAAGCAAATGTGACTATTTTGGGTCCTGCATATACATGCTAATCAATCCTACATTGAAGCTCAAGTCAGGGGTCTATTTTGTTTTCCAACTTCAATCTGATTTCAAATGATATGCTTGTTGAATTGCTCTATTATATGTTGAATCTGCTCAGCAAATTCTATGTATACTTGGATTGATGCATGACAGTACCATATTGTGTTATTTTAAACTCAATTCCCAATAACTAGTTCAACTGTCCTAGATCACTTGTTTCAAACTCATTCAATATTTGAGACTTGAATTGGGTTATTAAATCTTCATTGTTTCCTCTTATTAAAAGGTGATCAACATATAGACATGCAAATACCTTTTTTGTCTTCACATTTCTATGTCAGCATTTCACATAAACTTCATGTTTAGATATGCATTTCTCAAAACCAATTTGACTTAGAAAACTATCAATTATTCGATTCCAAGTCTTTCGAACTTGCTTAAACACATACAAAGCCTTCTTGAGTTTATACACTTTGTATTCTTGGTCTTTAAACTAAGATCCTTGTGGTTGTTGTACATACACTTCCTCATCAAGAGCTCTTCAAGAGGGTCATTAAGGAAAACAGATTTAACATCAAGTTAATGCACAAACCAGTTAACATTTGTTACAAGTGACACCACAAATTGAATTGTTTTAATTCTGGCCACTAGTGCATATACCTCACCATAGATATCCCTGCATTTTACATAAACCCTTTTACCACAAGTCTGGTCTTGTGGTTCACAATTTTACCTTTTGGATTTACTTTCACTTTGTAAACCCACTTCAATGTTATAGATTTTTTTTTTTGAGGTGCTTCTACCAATTCCCATGTATGATTTCTCTCCATGGAGTCAATCTCTTCCTGCATATATCTACGACCACCTTCTCAAATTCAATAGGCTTGGCTTCAATAATAAATGCGAAGTGCACCAAATTTCCTTATGAGGAAACTGCTCAGTCTTGGAATAATTCATAATCTCTTAAATGAGATGGCAACTGTGTTATTTTGGAGGATCTTCTCAAGGTTTGCTATCAGAGCCGGCTTGCATAGTTAAGGACCCTTCTTCTAGTAGAATCTTGGACTATGTTAAATCCTTTGAGATTGTTTTTCAATTCCAGCTTATTGTTTCATCAATTATTACATCCCTGCTGATTAATGTCTGACATGTCTCTTTATCAAATAGTTTGTAGCCTCCAGTTGAGCGATAGCCAATCATTATAAGTGGAATACCCTTGTCATCTAACTTCCTTCTTAATTGATCAGGAACATGTTTATAACAAATAGAACCAAATATTCTTAAGTGAAATACATCTAGTCTGATCTCAGTCCAAGCTTTCTCAGGTGTTATTCCCTCTAGTATCTTAGTGGGAGACCTATTTAGCACATATGCAACTGTTGAGACAACTTTCCCCCATAAGTAATTTGGTAGACTTTTACTTTTTAGCAGGCATCTACCATATTCAATAGAGTTATATTTCTACTCTTAGTTGTGTCATTGTGTTGGGGTATGTAGGGAGGTGTGACTTCATGTCATAATCTCTCATTCTCACAAAATTTATTGAATTCAGTTGATGTATACTCACCTCTACCATCAGTTCTTAATATTTCTCACTTTATTTCTCAACCATGCACTTAAATTTCTTAAAGACATATAACACCTAATGATTTCCTTTTAGCAAATATACTCACATCTTTCTAGTCAAATAATCAATAAACGAGATGAAGTACCTACTGTCTTCAGGAGTTTTGACTTATAGAGGGCCACAAATGTCTGAGTGTATCACTCCTAGATTTTATATTGCCTTTTGTAGTATGAACTTGCTGAACCTTCCTCTTGTTTATTTACACTGAACACATTCCTTGCATACTTCTTCTAGAATTACAACTTGAGATAATCCTTCAATCATATTTTGATGTCTGAGTTGATGTAAATCTCTAAAATTGAGATGACCATACCTGAGGTGCCACAATTATTCTACTCTGTTTTTTGAAGTGGCAAAACATTGATTCTTCTAAGTATTCATTCCAACTTGAAAAGTCCTATTTTGTGATAGGTTACCTTGAATTACAAGCTTCTTGTTTTTATCAAAAACACTAAGAGAATTATCCTCCATTGTCATAGTAAATCCTTTCTACTGTAATTGACTTAAGCTCAAAAGAATTGTTTTCAGTCCAGGTACATACAATACCTGCTTGTTACTATTTCTTTGTTAGCACGACTCTTCCAGTGCCTTCTATAGTCAGGCTTTTGTTATCTGCAAATCTTATTTTTCATTGAATACATCATTTATCTTTGTGAACCAATCTTTCCTACTTGTCATATGAGTAGAGCAACTAGAGTGAAGATACCATGGTGTGTCATCTGAGAAATTTGTGCTAGTTTTTGCCATAGCATCACTGCTTCAGAATCTGATGCATCATCTTATGCCAAGTTTACATGTTTTTTTTGCTTGTTCTTGGCTCCCTCTCCCTCCCAACGTTCTCAAGAAAAATGATCAAGCTTATGAGAGTTGTGACATCTCATTTTCTTCTAATCAAATTTCCATTTCTTACCTCCATTGGAGTTGATACTCTGTTTCTAGTTTTGGTTACTTGGCTTTTTTTGGAATTGGAAGACTCACCTCCATCACTACATTTTTTATCTTGTGACTTCTATTTGTTAATTGAATTGTCTCATTTTCATGATCCTTTACTCTTTCCCTTGTAATTTGAACGTGTTTGAAGTGTATATTCTTGATTGTGCTCTCTTTTATTAATTCTGAGTTTGTGTGCTTCAAGGGAATGTTACAACTGGTCAATTTCCATAACATCCAAGTCTTTAGTTATCATAACTACCACATGATCAAATTTTGGAGGCAATGTCTTCAAGATTTTATCCACAATCTGTGGATATATGATATTATCCTTGTAGGTCCTCATGGCATTAACATGTTCCTGAACCTTGTAAAAATAATCAACAGTTGTCTCACTTTCCTCGATATTGAGAAATTTAAATTGTCTTTTCAAGGTTTGCAATTTGACTTTCTTGTTTTTATCGCCATAAGTCTTTATAAAGATATTTCATGCTCCCTTGGAGGTGAATGCCTATTTTATTGAAGATCTTGGAGTTTATGCACTATTAGTTTTTCTTCTCTTCTTCGGTAGCACTTCGTCTAGGGTCTTCAAGTCTCACTATTACTACTTTAGCAATGTCTTAGAAACCAAAAATTGCAAGCATTTTGATTTTTCAATCATCAATATTGGCAAAGATCCTTATATTATGTTGCTAGTTCCAGTCATTCTTGACACCTTTATCTCTTTTTTATCTTTTTTTTAACAGTGTGTTCAACCATAGGTTCTTCTAGCACATTCTTATTTTATCAAGAACTTTTAATTACAACAATCACTAAAAATTAAAGAATCACTCACTCATAAAGACATATTTTACTCAAACAAAAACGAAGAAGAGAAAAAAAGATTCACACTTCAAATTGATGACAACTATGCAGTACATATCTCACAGTGTTATTTAGATCATAAAAACTCTAGATACTATCTTAAATGTAACAATACACATATGCACAGAAGATAAAACTGAATAATATCCTATCTCATCTCATTATTACCTTAATATTAAGCTGAATGGTTAAGATTAAATGGATATACAAAGTCAATATCAAACTCAATAGTTCAGTAGATAGACTCAAAATCAAATTAACACACAAGAAGTTGCTATTGATTTGGTTTCCCCTTTTTCTATTGTAGCAAAACTAATTAACATTAGAGTTCTCTTATCCTTGCCAATAGTAAAAGATGGAAGTTTCTCAAAATGGACACCAACAATGTTTTTCTTAATGCAGATTTATTTAAGGAATTTTGCCTCTCCAATGATACAAAGTTGGGGACTCCATTAATATTCTTCTATTACCACGACTCTTGGTTTCAACCAATCAAAAACTGATTATTCTCTCTTCACTATATGTTCAAGCCATTTATATATATATAACTTCAATCCCTCCTTAAACTCAAGATCCTTAGAAATTAAATTAATTTTTAGGTCATGATATACCAAAGACATATTTACTCTTATTAAAAAAAGAAGGTTGCAAATTATTTCAACTTCCCAGGATCCTAATCTTCACCTTATTATTGACTCTGATCAGTTAATATAGAAGATTGTATCTCAAAATTCGACATATTCACAACCTAAGTCAATTCATTTTTATTAAAAAAAAAAAATCATTTAGATGTTGTTCACAGTCTTCTCAAATACTTGAAAATCACATTTGATTAAGAAATTCCTTCTTTTCTGCAAAATATAATCCTTAGACTCAAAACATGATAATTGGGAAACTAAATGGACACCCCGTAAATCTATAATTGGATATTGTGTTTTTTTTTTTTTAGTAATTCTCTATTCAGGTGAAAATTGAAGAAACAATCCTCTTTATTCAATTAGTTGAATCAAAATATAGAACTTTAGTGGATGCTACTAGTGCATCATTTGATTCATTATTCTTCTCAATGATTACGAGATTTCTCGAACAACTGCTCTGTATAATCAATTTATTGTATAATCAGTCACAAGTACAAGTTTCTTACCATTTTATAAGAAAATAGAAAGTCAATAAAAATTCTACTAAAGTATCAACTATGTTCAACAATCTGCATATTTGGTTAACAAAACCTATCAATTCTAAAGATTTAACATTTGGGTATTCTGAACTTGTATAGCCCCATCTTGAAGAGCATTGTTCATTATGTTAATTTGTTATAACATTTAGCTCTATTAGTTGATGTACTTATACATTCTCAGAAAACGTTTGTGTACTATTAATACATTGAATTGCTCTTTTTCTTCTTGCTATTCTTTCACATGATGTCAACTTATTTCATGAAACTTAAGACAAGGTGATGGAAACCAAGATACGATAGGGAAGAAAATAATGCAACATACATAACCTTGTTCACAGTAATCAAAACCATATGCCATAGTAAACATATTATCACGTAGGTTAAGAAAATTGCACTATTGTATTGCTGAGTGTTGACCACATTCTAAGTGAGATTGACTGAGAAAAGTTTAAAATATATTAGGGTTAAAATTTAAAAAATAAAATAAACATATTTAAGATAAAAAGAAACTGGAATAAATAATTTGTAGAAATTTTTAGTCAAACTAAAGGATGAAAATATTTGTTATATTATGAAAAAATATTTTTTTATTATTATTTAGTTTTATTCTTTCTTAATATTTTTCTAATAATATTTTTTTATCAGCTAAACAAAATTAATATTTGACCATCCCTAAATGAAAAAGGAGTTAGAAAACGTTTAAAATATTGTTTTGTAATAAGATTATTACACTTGTGAAATGCTTAATCCACTTTGGTTCGTTACAACATTGAACATATTATCCACTAATAAATTTAAACAAATTAAGGCACAGAAATATTTTTGTGAAAAAACAAATCCACGATCCAAACCTATTCAACCTACGACAAAACTAACCGAACAAAAAATGTCTTAATCAAGACACAATATTTTGTCCTAATTCATCTGAATTTTTGCCCTACCCATCCATAGTGCCAGACCTATTTTATATAAACCCTAGTATTCATATTTCTTGAAAAAACAACGTTTTTCTTTTCCATAACGAGAAAAGCTGCAAGGCTCAATAGTAAATAAAGACTTGATAATAAAATAACCAACAACAAAGATTGAGAATGCGACATAATTAACAGTAAAACTGTCATGTTCCTTACGAATAATAGAGAAGCATATGATAACAACAGAAAATAATGTTTTCTTGTACGCAAATGCATGAAATAACTAATATTCCTGAGACACAACAAGGTAGTTTTCAACTCACATTAAACTAAAAGAACATCCCATGATGCTCCTCTCTACAACACAATTTTCAAAATGTCGCCGACGAAGTTCGACGAATCTGGTATCTTGGTTCTTCTGGTTTCACACTTGCTAACATATTCTCCACCTCCTGAAATTCAAACACAAAAATTACTAAACCCAACTTATAAAGAACGAGCAAGTAACTGAACTATTGAAGCTATAGGCTTGTGATTCTTCCAACACATGATGTTGAGATAGCAATGGTGGCATTGTAATCATTCTTCCAATTCATGTAATAATACTTACCTTTCATCCCTACTAAAAGCCAACCTTCTTCCTTCATTATTTGCTCCCAATGGAAACCAGTTCTATTTTTCCATAAATTAGGGTGTAAATATAGACACATTACATAAGAAATGTCTAGCTTAAAAAACAAAAATAACTTCAGTGGAATGTAAAAAGAATCACCAAACTCAGAATAATTCTTAAGTATTATAATTTTTGTCAAGATACAAATACTTAGTAGAATAATATTTGTACCATAATGTTTAGAAAGTTACCCTAATTGGAAAAAAAAGGTAAAGGAAGAGAGAAAAAAACATTACTTGAATCAAATTTAAAAAATTTTAAGTAATCTTTATATATTAAACATATTGAGATATATGAAATGCTCCATTGTCAAGTCATTTTAGTCTACCTCAAACAAACAATCAAGAAAGGAATTTCAATTTGGAAAACACTATAGTTACTAAAACACTCAAAGGGTTAGGTCAATGATTTGTGATAGCTTTACTTATGTTACGAATAGAGAAAGAAACTAATCAAAGCCATAACATCACAAAATAATTTTGTTCCTAAACATGAGTAAGACTAAAAATAACAAAGTGGTGGTAAAAAGCCCACCCATTGTGTGATTGCTTCATCTTGACCATCAAAACATCGACAAAAATATGTTGAAGATATAATCACATCCAATCTCAACCAAGAGTTTTATCCAATATTTAGGTTAAGACATTGACCATAGGGTTAGGGGAAGTGAGTGTAAAAAATGTTTTAATAGAAATTGTATTTCTACTCAATGAAAGGAAGATACTACTCATGAATATACAAGAAGTTATATTCATCACTTTGAGTTAATAGAAGTGGAAAAGAACTAGAACTTAAAAGCAGGAACCAAACCTTCTGTTTCCTCAGCTCTCCATTTTCCTCTTCCAATTGCGCCACTTTGTTCTCCAGCTCAGTTGTGTAAGCCTGTTTATTGTTATCACTTAGGTTAAGAAAATTTTCAGCAAAATACTAAAACATGCAATGAAAAGAAGGAGAATGCTCACCTGTTTCCTTGCTCTAGAACGTGCAGCAGATTCCCTATTCTTGATCATCCTCTTTTGTCTCCTCTCAACGGTCCTCTCGACCAACTCTTCCAGCGTAGCCCGTTTTCTGCCATGTCTCCTAGAATCTGCCAATGCCAGCTGACCCTCTGCATATCCATCTGATGCAGCACCCGCTCGTAGGTGTAATTGTGCAATGTTCGGGTTAGTCATATAAATCCCCATTAAACCTTGTGGATGCTGATAATGTGGTTGTGGATACTGCATCCAAGGAGGATGTTGAGGGAACTGTGGTGTCACCACATTTGGATTAACACCAACTGTGGCAGAAGATTCTTCAGTAACAACCCCTGCTTTCACCAAGAAATCCTCCAATGTCATATCTCCAAATTTAGGTTGTCTCCCTTTAGACTTTTTCTCCTTGCTATCTTTGCCTCCTTGTATATCTCTCCAAACCTCATCAACAGTTTTCCTGCTTAGAGCATTGGTTAAGGACAAGCTGGCTTGTGTTGTACCCCTCATGTCCACAATGGTATGTTGGTTTGCTTCAGAAGTGTACACAAATTTCAGAAGCTCATCAAGGTTCATGCTACTAATTGGTTTTCCTAAGTCACCTAATTGATTCTGAACTTCATTGAGTGTGAGACTGTACATGGAATTTTGTCTCACCAATGGCTGGTGTAGTGAATGTTTTGCATTACCACCCCCGCCACTTTGAGACCCCATAGTTTGGACCCCAATAACAAATTGTCAAAGCTAAGAATTCACTCCCTATTTAACAAATTTTACCATTGAAAGGGTAAGAACAACAAATCAAAATCTTCAAACATATGCACCACTTAAACACAGACTAATGACAAACACAAATTTCAAATTAGCATCTTTGTGTGATCAACTTAAAAGTTCACATTTATGCAGTAACCTATAAAACCTTGCATGCTTTCTGATGAAAGTGAAAAAGAAAGAGCAAACTTAAGGCAAACAAGCCATGTCCAATCAAATATCCAATTCTCTTCTTTTAAGTAAATTTAGATCCATACAGACAGACCTGTGTATAATGACATAATCTTGACTCTGATAGTTTGGTCATGTTTGCAGACAATCAATTGAAGCACTTGCTTAAATGAAGGCTATCTCAACAAGGAAGACCAAAAAAGAGAAACCCTAATAAAATAAAATTCCTGATCTGACTTCCCTTCAATTCCTTTCAAAATCATTGAAAATTTAGCATATGTTCGGATCGACAGAAATAAACTTTCCATCTTTATAACACATACAAATAAAAAAGTAACATTTTTTTTTTACTTTTGCTTTTTATCCATTGGAAAGAAGGAAGTTTGTTGTTTTTCCAAACATACAAATGTGCTTCAAACAACGTTGCGTTCCATCGAACATCAATCCATGGTGATTGTAACTTTCACTTTAACATTGGAAAACATGTTTAAGTAAAACAAAATAAACACTTAGCTTTTGCATAACACAATGGCAAGATACTCCATCTGATGATAAATTTTAATTTTTTTTTCAATTTGGGGACAAAAGAATTGAATCCGTAGGTATTAATGTTCTTTTGTCCCAATAATTTGAAATCTAATAATATACAAGAAGAACGAAAACCATAATTTAATACTATTTAATTATTTTATTTAAAAAATGGAAACATTGATATAAGATTAAAATGATAAAACCGATTTTTTTTTGGTTCTTTTAACCAAATGAGTTATAAAACGACCACAAGATGGAATAAGAATCAACTTTAAAACTAAAGTTAATGGTGAAAACAAAGGGTAAGCAAACTATAAAGAAAAATAACCCAAGCAAACCTATTAAAACATAGTTTTAAAAGATAATTTATTACCGCAAAATCCGTCATAAGAACTTATTATCGATCTCTTACAGAAAAATTCGTCGCAAGAAATTATTATCGACCGCTTCATGACCGTAATTGTTGCCGAACATATCGCTTTCATCAATGATTTTCCATAACATCAAAAAAATGCAATCAAGTTCAAAATTATTACGATCTCTCAACATCACAATTATGATTACATTTTTTAAGATGTAGAAATTATACATTGTATTTACTAATATATATAATGAAAATATATTTTTGAATCTTATTTATGACCATTTGACAGAAGTACTCAGAAATTTTATCAAAGTGAACAAAACTTTCTCTCGTTTTCACATGGAAAAAAGAATCTTGTGTTGCTGTCCATATAATCATTTAAAAAAATTGCATTAAGAACATTGATCCCTTGCATGCAGGCTCAAACACATACCTCAAATAAATTCCAATTGAAACCCTAAACCCCACATTCAGAACGATAAGGTCCTATGGAAATTCCACTGCAAAACCCTCCAGTTAAGAGTATGCAGTCATTCCCCTTTTGAGTAAAAAATGGGGAAGAAAAACGAAAGCAAACATATTTTCTTTGAAAAATGTAAACCCAGATTTCAAGACAAAAAGATTCAACAGAGAAATTGAAGAGGACGTGGTGGGGTTAAAAAGAAAAACAGAACCATAAAACATAAAAAGAAAGGTCTGCATGCAAGCAGTTGAGTGGCAAAATGAGATCAAAGCGAACCGAATTGGGTATTTGTGAGTGAGAAAATGTTTGAAGATCACAAGAGAAAAGATAACGAAGGAGTGGTGTAAGAGATGATTGAAAGGATGGGAATTGAAAAGCAGAATGAAAAAAAGTATACCTTGTGAGAGAGAGCGATCTGAGATGGGTGGAGAAGGGAATGAGATTGAGATTTGAGAGTGTCTGCAACACAAGCTGGGCAATGCAATGTGTATTGTGAGTGCATATATATATATGCATTGTTGATGGTGCAGTGTGGTCGGAAAAAGACAATGGCGATAGCCAGTAAGGTTTGAGTGAAGAGAGAGAATGAGAAATGCCCTTTTTTTCTTTTGTTCACACTTCACGTAAAACAATGTTGGGTTTCATTATTACGTTTTTGTCTGGCACAAAATTGCATGGACCTATCTTCCCCTACTAAACCCTCACTCTTCTCTCTCTTAACATAAACACACTGCTATTATACCTCTTTATTAATGCTAATAAATATGCATCAATCTTCAAATACCTTTGAGAGAGTTTTCGGATACAGAAAATCATAAATAAATAAGAATTCGAGATTCATTTTTATTTTTTATTTTTTATTTTTCTTGTCATATAATTCTTATGTGATTTATTGTTTTAGATTATGATGAAAATCAATAATAAGTTTTTAATTTATATTATTAGAAAATTTATATATATATATATATAAGAAAATATATTATTTTTTAAAATTATTATTCTTTTGTCTCTTTAAAATAAACATATGAAAATGTTCTTTAGTTTTTATATTATTTTCTCCTTAAAAACCAAGTTCATCTTTCATTTTTTTTCTTTATTCTTTTTTTTATATATATATAATAAAACGTAAGTCGAGAATATTTAATAAACAATATTTATTCTATTAAATTTATACTCATTTAATAAAATTATCAAATAATCTTTAACTCATTTATATTAATATCGAGAAGAAAAAAAATTTAAAAATGTATATATATATTTAAATACTATTAATTTCTTTTATCAGTTAAAATTATTCAAATAAAAAAAATAGTCGACTTATATTTTACTTAATAACTATCTCACATTTAATGAACATAGTGGTGGTGTTCATTGAATGGGTAATCCAATGGCTCGATCTGACTCAATCTAACACAAATGGATTGAATGATGGGTTTTTAATATTTCACCTGAGACTCAACTCAATCGGTTGACAAAAAATATTAAAAATTATTTAGTTTTAAAAATTTATGATCAATTCAATCTAATCTAAAGATTGATTTAAATTTAATTTTAAAAAAATGTAAAAATTAAACTTTTATAATTTTTTATTGGATTAAGTCATGGATTTCGTAAAATCTGACCCAACTCAACCGTTATACGTCCTAATATTTGAAACAATTTTAAAAGTTAAAAGAATCTTATTTTTCAATAAGTATCTTATTTTGAGTGAGAAAAATAATAATAATTTGAGGGTGTAAATAATAATTTAAAAAGCGATTAATGTTTCATTGGATGATAAAAACACCGGTCAATTTGATTTTTTTTTCATGTTAAAATTATTTTTTATGACAGGATATTGTTTCAGTAACTTTTGATAAATAAAAGAGGGTATTTTAGACTTTATGAAAAAAGAACAAAAAAGTAATACTTATCAAACAAAATAAATAAAAATTCAAAACTACATTTTAGCTTTAAAAAGAAAATTTAAATAGAGTTAGAAGTTTTTTTTTCCTTTGATGTTGTCTAATTGAAACAAAAAAATTTAATAGATTTTAAAAAAATAAAGGATTTTTCAGAATAATATTTAAAAAAGAATTGATGAAACAGATATTTTATTTAATGTTAATTCACTTAACTTGAACTAATTGAACATTAGTTAAACCAATGATTACTAATATGTGTCACAACTAATATGTATTCAACTTTTGTTGTTGACAGTTGCTATCATTTGTTTATAGATAGTATTGTCCACTTTTCTTAGAATTCTCATATAGTCTTAGACATATGGTTGGATGCATTGGACTTTTAATTTCTTTAAAAAAAATAAAAAAATCAAAACTAAATTTTAGCTTTAAAGAGAAAATTTAAATAGAGTTGGAATTTTATTTCCTTTCATGTTATCTAATGAAAAAAAAAATTAATAGATTTTAAAAAATAAAATATTTAGAAAGGGTTTTTCAGAATAATATTTAGAAAGATAATTGACGAAAGAGAGATTTTATTGAATATTAATTCATTTAATTTAACCTAATTGAAGATTTAGTTAAACCTATGACTCTGAAGAAAGACTTAGAGAGGTCCAGGAGGCATTGTAATAAGATGTGACTTATTTGTTGGAGACCCCATAATCAAAGGTCCAAGATAGTGAGGAGACTAAATTACATGTATAACATGTTTTGAAGAACTAAAATAAAACATTATTATAAAAAAATTAGAATATGCTTATTTAAGCATTTGGGACACACTAGCTTTAGTTACGAATTATTTTTAACAAAATAATTATACCTCTCTTCTAACGTTTTTCTTATGTATTTTGATCTTATTAAAAAATCATGAATTATTATGTCAATCATCTTTAGATTTATAAACTCTATCGGTAGCATCTTCTTTTGCTACGATTCTTTTTTATTATCGTGTTGTTGTATTTTCAATTCTTAATCATAAATTTTAAATTTTCATTATATTTTTCTTTTAAATTATGTTATTTGATATTCACATTTACCATTGATGGTAGGAGGGAGTGGGAACTAGTGTGGGCCATGATCCAAAAAAAGTTCTTTTAAAATTTTATTAAGAAAATATATTATGGCCATTTAAAAAAAAAAGTTGATTTTGACCGATCTCACTAAAACTAATATTCTGATTCTAACTCGATTGGTGATATTATTTATTTTACTCATTTGCTATTCACTTATTTCTCTATTACTATTCATTGTTATTGTTCATATTTCTTATTTGTAAGTTTCATTAGACATTACAAAATGATGTCTTATTTGTATTTATTTGACTCAATTA